GGCCGAGAAGCTGTTTGTGCAGGTGATGGAGACTCGCAAGATGAAGCTCGGGGCCGATCATCCCGACACGCTGACCAGCATGGCCAACCTGGCGTTTACTTGGAAAGATCAAAGCCGACACACAGATGCATTAGCATTGATGGAGGAGTGTGCCGAGGCTCAACAGCGAGTCCTTGGCGCAGACCATCCAGACGCACAATCGTCGTCGGCCACCGTAGCCGAGTGGCTAACATAGCTAGATCCAAAGATGTGGTCGCCAGACATGAAAGCAGTCCTGGCAACGATCAAGTACGCAATGGCGCCAGGGAGATTGGATCTTGACGAGGAACGACGAGGATTGGGGCAATCACAGTAGGGGAGCTCCACTAACACTACACAACCTCGACCAGCAGATCCCGCTTTAGCTGCTGAAGATAGGACGCTGAACACTTGGAGAATGCAGCCTCAAGTCGATCTGCTAAAACCAAGTCAAGAGGCAACAGTTAGTGGGGTGAGACAGGGGAAACGAGTAGAGGGCTTGTACGAGTTGATGACTAAACGTCAACGAATTGGATGTAGTTAGCGTGCGAAGGCCCTTTAGGCTTCGTGCCTCCGGGCGAAATAAATTCCATCCATCCATCCATTCGTTGACGTTTAGTCATCACCTCGTACTAGCCCTCTACTCTTTTCCCCTTTCTCACGCCACTAACTGTTGCCTCTTGACTTGGTTTTAGCAGATCGACTTGAGGCTGCATTCTCCAAGTGTTCAGCGTCCTATCTTCAGCAGCTAAAGCGGGATCTGCTGGTCGAGGTTGTGTAGTGTTAGTGGAGCTCCCCTACTGTGATTGCCCCAATCCTCGTCGTTCCTCGTCAAGATCCAATCTCCCTGGCGCCATTGCGTACTCGATCGTTGCCCGGACTGCTTTTATGTCTGGTGACCACATCTTTGGGTCCGATGGTGCTTTCCCTCCTAGGTAGAATGGGAGGCTCCCTCGCCTAACCACTGTGCATTGCAACGTGTCTTCCCTCAACGCTGCCCATCTCACGCATCGCAACAGAAAATGTTCCACTGTTTCCCTCGCTCGGCCGCAGGGACAAAGGTCTGACTCGACCGCTCCGATTCTGTTCAGAAAGCGTTCAGCCTCGCCATTCCGGTTCGGAGTTGTGCCAAGACACAGGCCTCTTTTCGTTTCAACTTGTCGTAGAGATCACGAGTGTGCTTGCCAGGTAGTGCCACGTCCAGAGCCTTTGAGAATTTGCCTACGCCTTCGGGAAGACCTCTCCCTTGTCGTGTTTGGCCAGTGCCAGCCTGATTGCGGTGGACTTGGCTTGGGGCATTTGGAGGTTGGGTATCTGTCCTTGCCTCGTTGTCCTTTGCGCTGCCGCCTTAGCCTCTAAGCCCAACGCAAAGTTGGCTTCCGCTGGGATCCCCAGGAAGTCGACTGAGTTCCCTCTTTCTTGGTGCAGTCTAGCCAACTCGTAAATTTACCATATAGTGCCTTGGCCGGATTGTTGTCGCGGTTGCCTAATTGCTGCCAGCGCTGACTGGTTCCTGGTGACGATGGTGATGTGCCTATGGCAGACGTTGGCCGGAATCTTCTCCAAGGCCATTGCGATGGCTGCTAGTTCTGCTGTGTATGGGTTCTGCTCCTCCCTCGTGCCAAGGGTTACAGCAAATCTTGTCACGGTCTCGCTGGTCCTGTTGAAGAGAGTGTCTCGTGCGATGCCACCAACACCGACAATGCCTTTCTTCACGGATGAGCTTGTTGCCATCACGATGCTTATGGCTCCGTTGGCCATCTTGGTCGCCTTCTCTCGGTCAGCTTCGATCGTCGGCTGTAGGCGAGGTGCCCAGGGAGCGACAGCGTATTCCTGGATTGTTTCCATCTGTCCGGTTTCTATTCCTTCTACCGCACGGGGCGATCTTCTGAATCGGATGTAGTTAGCGTGCCAAGGCCTCCGGGCGAAATAAAATTCATTCCATCCATCCATCTTGTCACAGGTCGCATTTGACTCGTAACAGACCCAATCCAGATTGAAATACACGATCTCCTGGAGAAAGAAGCTGAGCCCGGGGGAAGTTTCGTCTAGTGAACTAAGCGTGGCTTCAGGCGGTACGCGCACCCTCGAGCGCACTAGGCAGACGGACGACGTAGCTATTGTTAGCTGGTTATGCATAGCCAAGTTATCATCGCCTGAAGCACGACCAGTCGCACTCGTGCGTGTCAGGCATGCGAAGGCCTGGCAGGCGACGTGTACCATGGGTGTGGCCCCTGGGCCCTGCTCTAGTAATACCAGTCGCATGGGAAGGCTTGTTTGCGCCTTGGGTATTGCGGTAAGCCTGTAGCGAACAGTCGCAGGGGACGGCCGGTCTGCAGCTTGTACCATTGTTGGTATTGCGGTGAGCCTGTAGCGAACAGTCACACGAGAAGGCCTGTCTGCGCCTTTAGTATTGCGGCGGGTCTGTAGCGAACAGTCGCAGGGGAAGGCCCGCGAGCGACCAGTAGCACGGTGCCGTAGCGAACAGTCGCAGGGGGCGGCCAGTGTGCGACCAGTATTGCAGCAACCCCGGGCCCCGCTAGGGTACCAGTCGCAGGGCAGCCGCCTGCGTAAATGGCCGGCGTGCGACTGGTACGAACGCGTTGGGGAATCCGGTGTGCGAACAGTACCATTGCTGCCAGCGCGCTGCTGCGTGTGGTGCGGCCAGTCGCTCCAACCCAGCGTTGCCCCGATGACGCGGTGCGACCAGTACTTCCCGTACAAGCCAGCTGCCAGGGGTAGCACGGTACTGCCGACGCGGGGTGCTAACAAGTGGAGCGCGACCGGTCGTAAGCGCTGTGCTCCTGCGAGAACAACAACGTGCGACCAGTACGCGTTCTCGTGGGTCGCATCTTCAAGAACCCGTTCTCAAGTCGAGACTCCGGGAAGGACACATCCTCAAGTCTCATGGCGAGGAGGCGCCATGTCTAGTCCCGCCTATATCACCGGCGCCATGGATCGCCATGCCCTCCGCGCCTGCCCACCCCAAGCCCAACCGCGCCTCCTTCATCATGCCTCATCCGATCATCGTCATTGCCAGTTTCTTGGCCGCGATCAGGTCGACGTGGGAACTCTCGCGTGTGGTCCGCGAGAAACGGGCTGCCAAGACTGAAGACCGAGGAAAGAGCACCCTCATTCTTCTGCAACAAGCCTACCGCAAAGGACTGCTCCTAGAAAGAGAGTTCGATTACCTCTTCGAACGCTTAATGCGTGCAGAGGCCTGCAACGACGGTAGGTATGCTCACCGTGCGTCGCGGTATCGCCGCTCACGCCTCTTAGCTGCCGCACTGCGGAAGATTCGTGCCGACTTCCAGGCCATCCAGGCAAGGCCATCCTGGCGACGGGTGGTGGAACGAGAGAGGGACATAGGGACATGGACTACTAAGCTGGCTGGCCCTGGTACATAGCTATAGGATAGTGATACAGGAGACATATATTTCCCTCTACTTCTCCCTCTAAGTGACTCCGGCTGATTCCCGCCAATCAAGGTGGAACGTAAGACCAAGGACTGCCAATAAAAGAGAAGCGTCTGAAGGTGAGAGGAATGATAGGACTGACATGAGAATAGGAAATAGGTGAATGGGGTGAATGGAATTGTTGTGGTTTTGGTAGCGTCCATCATGTGCCGCTGCTCAACGGCCATGAATGCCAGACGATCACTCAGACAAAGCCTTATGCTTATTGTAGAGGTTGATTTGACTTGGAACGTATCGCTCGAGTCGCTGCCTGGTAGTGCTCCCCTGGTTTTGTTGGTCTCTTATCGCGGTTTAGGGTTAGGGTTGGCGCCTTTTCTCGTTCACGTCCCCCTTTCGCGTTTTCGTCCTAGCAGCCCACCAAGGTGCAGCCGACCGCTAACACGGGAATACAACAGAGAAATTTATACGGTAAAATTGCCTTTCCGGTGACAGAATGTGTCTCGGCATCTGGCATACCCAGAACGAACAATCAATATGTCCCTAGGCGTTGTGCGAGTTCCTCTCGACTCTTTGGAGTTCCCTCATCGGAGGCAGATCAGCTTTAAAGTACGGGAAAGACTTGGGAGAGTTTTTAAAAATTTGTCCAAAGCAGGCGCTACTGAGGTTCGTCTACCATGCACCGTGGAAGAAGGAAAGTTTGGACAGATCCTAGCGCATTTGGGGCTCTCTGCCGATCAGCTCCGTGGAACTGGGAGGAAAGGGCAAAAGGACTTGCCTCTTCTTACCGGCATCCGATTGTCATGCCTCTACGGCGAGTATCTTGTTGCGGCGACCAAGGGCAACAAAGAGACTTCGCTGGTCATTCATCTGTTCTCCGCGGATCGTAAGCCACGAGGTCTCTCTCCCGAATTTGGTTGAAGGCTGACGATCTAGTGCTCGATCCGTTGCTCGAACTCATTTCCGCATTCTCCCATGAGCCACAACAATCGGATGGAGAACTGTACCAGAAGATCGTGGAGAGCTACCGCCGCGATGAGGTCACATACGCACTCTGTATGGGCTCCCTCACGGGGCCTAAAGAGCGTAACATGAGGATGCTTCTGAGGCCCAAGAACCTGCCTATGGTCAAAGCCTTAAACAGTTTATTCGAAATCCCAGCCATGATGGAGCAATTGCTCCTCGGGAACATCCATAAATGGCTTGCTTTGCACATGGATGAGCAGATTATAAACTACCTCAACCACATTTCCGTGGTGTGGAAGGAGAAGATATGCGAGGGAAAGATGATTCTCATGCAGTCTCTCGACATTGACAGCATTCGTATGGTTCAGTTCCGAATGCCTACGGTCTGTTCGGGAGACGCGGATACGATCGAGCGCCTGTTTGACAACGGCACGCTATTTCCTAGCGTGACCGATCCCAGCGGCAGAGATATGCTGCGACGAAATGTTCTTTCCCTCGACATGGTTATACCGAGTTTCGAAATACTTCAGGAGAACATGCATTACGTTGGTTTTGCAGCCAGGATCCTGATTCGACACGTCGTCGACGAGCTGCCATTATGCAAGAGCAGCAAGAGGAGGAGCCCTACCATCTTTGAAGTCCTTTCCAGCACTTGGACGGCCCCAGTGGTTGCGCAGGTGGAGGCCAACGATGGCGAGTTGCCGGAGATTGAGGGGCCAGCATCGCCTTCTCTCGCATTCATGCAGCTTTGTTTAGCTTGCTTGCGGCTCTTCCCGTGGCTTCAGGATGCCCTCCCGCCCCGCGAAGACTGGCCGGAAGACAGCTTTAAGGCCGAGGTCAACACGCAATGCGTCGCATATCTCCTGCACCTGGCCTTCGAAATCGGTTTTCGAACGTCCAAAACTCAAGCCGCCGGGTCCCAAGCTACTTATGCTGGCCCCAAGCCCCCTCATGCTTCCTTGTGGCGGAAGATACCGGACTGGAGAGGTGGCAGGCCTTTCACTCGGAGATTCTGGTATCTACGAGCAAACGGGTTCCTCCCCAGACTAGCTACGACGAGGCGTCGTCAGCCCAATCCCGAATTCGTCTTGCGCGATATGATGACGGCGTTCTTCGGAGAGCATGCCTCTATTTTCCGACAGGGTCTAGAAGACACGGAAGATATGGAAGATACGCTTATGGATGACGTCGTTGGCGACGGTAGTGCTCTGGGGCCGGAGGACGAGCAGGGAGGCGCGCCTACAGTTGCCCGTCGTGCTCCGGGGGACAAGATCCGACCAAGATCCCTCTACTTTGGATCGGCTGCAAAAGCGAGGCACAACAAGGCGACTTCCGTGACTGCAAAGGCACCCCAACAAGACGCTGCGGGCATCCCAAGACGCGAAGCAGCTCGATCCGTCATTGGACGATAGGTCATGATACGTGGCGTAGCCAAAAAAGCCGCAGGCGGTGGCGGAGCAGTCCCTGCCTCAAATATCTTTGCCCAATTTATGCGAATTACGCCGGGTCGCGAAGCGGCGCAGAGTGCCGGGGTCGCACCTCTTCAACTGACAGACTCGTCTGCACCTGAAACATCGCACCAGGCAGCCGTCCAGGATACACAGAACCTTCAATCTGAATTACTCGGCCCTACAAGAAACACAGTGCCGAGCGTGGTCACCAGTTTTGGTCGCGAAACTGCTCGCTCGGTTTTCGTGGCGAACCCCAACTGGAAAGGCGGCGCTCGAGGTGTCCGTGATATCTTGGCCTTCGCGCCAACGCAACGAGGCCGGCTTGTCCGCCCACCAACGAGTCAAGATCAGAAATCCAGCCGCGCTGTTAGGGGGTCAGTTCGTACCCGTGACGATCTCACTTTCGCTATACCATCTAGCCGCGCAGCTACGGGGTCTATTCCTGCCCGCGAGGATTTCCGTCTAGCTATACCACCTATTCGGGGTATGAACAGCCGAAAACACTTGCGCTCGCAGCCCAATTCATCGACAATTCGACAAGAAGAGTCCGAGGAGCCGGCTTTGAAGAGGGCTAGGCCGCCCGCTGTCTCGCCGCTGGCTGTCCCGGCTCCTACGCGAGATAGACAGAAGCGCATTGCCGCAAGAGAACAGAGGAAGCGAAATGGTGTTATTTGGGACAGTCTAGTCGCCCCTATGGACGGGGTAGAAGAAGGCGGAGGTCCTGCAACGCAGCCGGATCCCCTTCCGGTTGAATCAACAGCGAGGGCAGACCTCCCCTTTATCGTGGAAGAAGAGGAAGAAGAGGAGGAGGAGGAGGAGTTGTAAATAGAAGTTCTTTGCTAAATAGTTTTCACGTTCCATGCTGCATCAACACAATTGGTCTATGAAAGCTCGATTTATACAGATGAGAGCTCATTAGAAGAGAGAGAGAGACAGGCCGCAGTAGAGCACCGAAAAACCCGCTGTACCATAGCTCCTCCATAATTACCCCAATCAATGCGAAGCGGTGCATTGGTGATACCTACCATCCATACAGAGCCGGCGATCGCCCTCGCCATGCCACCAGGTCCGACGACTAGCCTAGCCCAGGGCTACGACGGGCTATGCGGGCGCCGTCGACGGCCTTCGCCTGTCAAATCACTGGCTTATTCGGTCGTTCCGGCCTTGGGTTAAGGAGTTATCTTTTTAACTTTCCCAATGGCGAGTATATCCCGTTTTGGGGCGCTGCACTGACTCGAACGCAATCGCGTCTTTGTGCTGCCCTCGAGCCTTGCCATGCGCTGGATGGCCGACTCCTGCCCTAGGAGGCTAAGCGCCACTAATGCAGTGTAACCTTGCCAGTCACCAACATCCATTGAGCCGGTCTTCTGCACACCACGATTTTGAATACTCGAGTAGAAATGAAAGCTGTCGTCACGAAATAAAGTCGACTAACAGATCAGGCGAGCCTGCTGACGGCACAAGCTTCATGCTTTCTCGACCGTACGCGAGCAGTATATCAACATCTGCCCTATTGGGTCTATTGAATGTATCAACCAACTGTTGTACTATCGTCCTCTCGGCTTGGCCTGCTCAAGTGTAAAGCGAAGCCCTGGCGATGGCACCGTCGAGAGAGCCATCCGCAGCCCGCATACCGTAGCCGACGGCCGCCCGAGCCAGCTAACAGCACCTCCAACCGGCCACGCCGGGACGCCGACGATTGCTCGGTCGCTCGGCTGGGTTGTTCGGCATGGTGTCGTCGTCTGCCTCCTCACACTTACTGTGCTATACCTCCCAAACCAAGCCACCGCCGTATTTAACCACACCTGGAAACTGAACATCTCACTAGCGTTGCGAGTTGCACAGGAGACATGACAGTGTGTGGTGGCAATTTTGACATCTGATACAAGGTTAAGCATACATAGCTAAGTGACTGTCCTATCGTCCAGCCTTGAGACCCAGCCCACCACGTCCTCTCGCCTAGCTAGCTATAGCGGGAGCAACGGCCGTCGCCGCGGCCGGCTGTGCGCTTGTTGCATGTGAGGTTAGGCTTTTGCGGGCCATCGAATACAAAGGGCCGGGGCCGCCCACCACAGTGGCTTTAAATGTCGCAGTGTCATCAAACCACTCGTGTACTTAAGACTCTTCTCGAGGGCACCGCAGCGGTTTGATGCGCGGAAGCGGCCGGCCGCCACGGAGCGAGAAGAGCAGGGTCGACATGCTCTAGAGAATCCAAATCCAAAATTGCACTCGGCCCCCCATATGATTCTGTGTGAGATGGCACGTTTGCTGCTCATCGACAGTCGACGCGCAGATGATCACGTCCTCGCACAGATCGCTGTCTGCATCATCTGTCACGAAGGGGGAAGGCTCCTTCGTGTACGCCACGTTGTGCTTGGCGCCCCTCTTGCGCTTGGCGGCTGGAGCGGTGTATTCGCCGTTCATGTCGCTGTCCCCCTTGCGTTTTCCTCCGACAACTTTTGTCACTGCCTGTCCTGAGGAGTGCTTTTCCATAGCATGCCGGAGGAGCTCCTTAAACCCATAAATCCCTTGCATCTCTCCAGCCGGCATTGTCGAAGGGACGCATGCGGCGCACTCTAAAGGCTCTCCCAATCTGTGGCTGTGCTGAGCGGTGAAATGTCTCCGGAAGCCGGGCCCGAGGGCACAGAGATGTCCGCAGAGAAGGCACGGCTCCACGCCGGGAAGAGACCACTTGTGGACGGATCGAGCGTGCGTCAGCCATTCCCAGATGCTCATGGGTTTGACGTCAACTCGGCCCTCACGAGTGCAAGCGCCACAGACGACGGGAAGGCCCTTACGATACCGAGGAATCTCAGTCCGGTTCATGTGGTCGAGGAGAGTACTCGTAGATGCCATGGGTGCCTCGCATAGAAGACAGATCAACGGCGAATTTGACGGACGATCCCGAGGGCTGGCACCTGGATTGACGCTTGGTGTGTGGATGAGGCCATGGGATTGCACCACTGTGCCGGGCCGTGGACGATAACCTCTGTCGCCCCAGCGCGCTTGCACTCGCGACAAGCGAGAGGCTTGTCAAACGTACCGTCAACAAGATGGGAATTCCGGAAGTGCCGCGTAAAGCAAGAGCGGTTGTGAAGCCTTTGGAGCAGACGAAACAGCAGGAGTCCCGTTGCGGCTTGGAAGCTGCCGCTGTCTCTGGAACCCGCGGTGCCCGCTGGGGCTTGGAAGCTGCCGCTGCCTTTGGAACTAGCCGTGGTACACTGAGTGCGATAGACGAGAGGTGCAGCAGCTGCGCATCAATATACCGCTCCGATACGCTCGTGCCGACCGTTAACAACTCGCCGTCTTCTCGCGGTCCTGGGCGAGACAGAAGGGCGGCCACCGGAGCCGCCATACCCGGACCCCCCGCGCCGGGTGTTGGCTCCGGCTCAAGACCCTGGAGACGCAACCGGTCCGCCGCCTTGAAGTAGGCCTGTCGATCTGCGTCGAGCTGCAGCTTGATGCAAGTCTCGATGGTGGTTCTGATTTGCCTGTGAAGCCTTTTCTTCTCACCCTGGTCGGTTGAGGCCTGGATCTCGTCGCGGAACTTGGCGATATCCCTTCGTTCTCGGAACTTCGAAATCTGTTCTTTTGACACCGAGATCGGGGCACCCTCGTCCCGTGTAAGGGACATATTGCGAAGGTCGTTGAAAAGCGTTTCATCCCGGCGCACCGCTTTGGGCCCATACGCTAATGCGGCGAGATTAGGTCTCACGACGCCTGTTTGGTAGTCGTTTTCGAAAATGGCTCCTGAGTGACTCATGACATAGTTCCGTAGGGCACTTGACAGGCTTTCTGCAATGCGTGTTAGTTGACTATGTAACGTCTGGCGGCGGTCAGTGTCCAGAAGCAACATACCATCCATGTGGGCTCCAGCACCCACGCGAGGAGCATAAGGGCGGATAGTCTTGCGGCAGCCTATGACAAGGAGGCACCGCATCCATAGTTCGTAAAACACTGGGTATGCTAGTGGGAAAAGAGGCTTGTCCAGGAATTCCTCCTTCCAGGGAATGTCGATACGGTCGGTCTTGCCAAGGACTGGACGGTGGAGAAGGTCGTGGGCCGATTCAAAGCTGATTGCCAAAGCGTCCATCTCTACCGCCCGGGCGATCACGAGGCTTGCCAAACAGAGGACAGGATAAGGCACGAGAGTGGTAGAGTAGGCGACGCTGTTGATGGGGGTTAGGGGGATACACCTCGTTAGCCCTCGGCCTCGCATCTGCTCGAGATGGAATTGCTTACGATTTTTGCTTCCTGTATTTACAGGTCATTTGAGTCGTCTTGACTTTGTTCCGACCGATGTTGGGTGTAACAATAATCCTCGTCTGGGTCCTATCATCAGGGTCGCTCACGACGGACAGGGTATACTGCCGACACTTGGTGTTCATAAGGCTGCCTGGCCGGAAACCGCCGGTACTGCCGAGAAGGACGGCGGCGTGGAACGACACCCTCGTAAGTGGCGGAGCGGGTATATCCTCAGCCCGCTGATATAGCGCGAGAAGAATGAGGATGATATCTGCTGCTGTCGCTTCAACCTTCACGTACAACGTGTTTATCTCCAGGTTGAGCGCTGGCGACAGTTTGAGGAGAATCCACTAGCCAGGCACTGGTCAGTAGAACACACTAATGGTAGAAGCACGACGGACAGAGTGCGCGAAAGAGGAGAGCTGTAGACAAAGTTACCACGTCAGGGATACAATGAAGTGTAAGGGGACCGAAATATTTGAAAGGGAAAAAGGGAATGCATCCAATTCGGCGTCACATACCTGGACAATTAGATAGGCGGGTCCCTCACGTCGTTCGCCTTCTTGTTCCCACTTTAGAAAAAGCCGGTCAGCCTCCAGGTATTTCTCCTTTTTCCGCAGCGCTTTCCGCCCGCCACGGAGAACCTTGAAATCGGCCGCTGCGACGAGCCTCCGCCAAACCTCAATGACACTATAAGCAGAGTTGAGTGTGCGGACCATGGCGCGCTCCTCCGGCCCTAACACGACACGTTCCTTGACGGAGTTTTCCACAAATTTGTGCAGAAAGGCCTGAACTGGCGCTTGAACACTTGGGACCGATGGGTCCCGAGCGAAGTCCACCCAGAAGCGGCAGGGGTCGAGACCACGACAGCTTCACTCAGTTAGCACTGATTTCGTGCTCGATGGTGGGCCACGTACCTCTGGGGAGTACCGTGGCTGTCCATCTCATCCTCTTTTTTCTGGTAAGTCCACAGAAACTTTAGAAAATGATAAGATTAGTAACACATCAGCACATTGTCCTAGGCGTAATGTCGAGATTCTGGTTTGTGTTTGGGGAAGCCAGGGAAGGGGTGGAGAAGACATACTCGGTCCAGGCAGTCCATATTCTATCGCGCTCCGCTTGTGTGCCCGGAGCAACAAAGGGCTGCTCGTTACCCTCCTCCTCTATGGCATTGTCCAAGTAATCCTGGAGGAGCGCATTAACGCTTTCCTGGTCCACCTCGGAAAAGCGCAACTGTTGTTGTACCGTCAGAGTGAGCCAAGGAGTATGTTAAGAGAAGGAAGAATGACGAGAAAGCAGAGAGGAAGGGGATTCTGAGGTTTGGGTGGAGGGCAGGAGGGAGGCCACGACGGCATGAGCAAGCCAGCCCAGCACCGAGCCTCGAGGGTCGGACGCAGTTGGTTCGCATCCTCGGCCACAGCCCCGCGAGCAGGGGACGGGATCCTGGCGCTGAAAATGCATCTCCATCGCGAATGCGCGGAATATGTGTTAGAGGACTCGATGGGTGTGAACGAAGTAGAATGGGCGACGCCTTCCGGCCTCCGTCGCCGGCGCCGTTTGGAGTCGTTACGGAGGCGGTCCCGGTCCGGGAACGCGAACGGGATCTCGTCCGGCAAAACATCGGGCAAGCGTTGGGCCGGGGTAGCTGAGTCAGCAACCGCAGCCGTACAACGCCAGAGATTTTGCATCAGGAATAAGTTAATTGATCCACTGAATACAGAGGCGGAGCTTAGACTCCAGAGCCGAGTCTAGGGGTCGGCCCCTATCACATCGAAACGGGAAGGTCTTGGCGTTACTAAATTCTCCAATGTTCCGGTCCTTGCAAAAGGCAGAACTTCCAACGTGTTTCTTCCGTCGAAACTATCGAGGTATTCCACGGCTACGAGTTTTGCGTGAATCCTACCCAGCCGGCTTCGCTCATGCGCCAATGCCAAAATGAAGCTCTCGGCAATCACTTTCGGGGTTTTAGCCCTTCTCACGCCGCTGACAGCAGCATGGACCAAGGAAGGTGAGTCTCTTGTCGCCAATACCAATCACTCTAGCAGTGCGACCGTCGCCGTATTGACCGGATTTTCCTCTGCAGACCGCGAAATTTTCCGCGTCCGTGACGAGCTGATTGCCCATGAGGGACCGGATGTTACTTTCTACGATTTCCTGGGCGTCAGCCGGGGGGCGAGCCTCGAAGATATCAACAAGGCGTACAAGAAGAAATCGCGGCAACTCCATCCCGACAAGGTCAGGCAGCAGCTGACGGCCGAGCGCCTCAAGGCCCAAAAGGAAAAATCCAAGCAAAAGAAGGGCAAGCCGGGAGTCCACGTCACGAAGCCGCCCACGGCCGCCGAACTCAAGGCCGCCGTCAAGCGCGCAGAGGAGCGCCAGACCCGCCTGTCCATCGTCGCCGATGTCTTGCGCGGACCAGGCCGTGACCGCTATGACCACTTCCTTACGCACGGCTTCCCCACGTGGAAGGGCACCGAGTACTACTACAGCCGCTACCGCCCGGGCCTGGGCACCGCCATGTTCGGCGTGTTCTTGTTCGCTGGTGGTGGGGCACATTACCTTGCGCTGTACATGAGCTGGAAGCGCCAGCGCGAGTTTGTCGAGCGGTACATCAAGTTTGCGCGTCACACCGCTTGGGGCGAGAACCTCGGCATCAACGTCCCGGGCGTCGATGCCCAACCCTCAGCTGCTCCTCCCCCGCCACCACCACAGCAGCAAATGTACCAGGATGAAGAGGGACGGCCTGTGCCCATGAACCGGAAGATGCGCAGGATGCAGGAGCGCGACGCGAAGAAGGAGAAGGATGCGCAAACTGGTGGGCGCAAGGCACGGCGCGCCCGGGGCTCGCCCACAGTCTCCGGGTCTGCGACACCGCAGCCCCAGCCCCAGCGCGCTGGCCCGACTGGCACCAAAAAGCGCGTCGTTGCAGAGAACGGCAAGGTTCTAGTTGTCGACTCTTTGGGCGACGTCTACCTTGAGCAGGAGGATGAAGATGGCAAGGTGGCCGAGTTCCTGCTTGATGTGAGTTGTGCCCAACCTTACTTCGCCTCGCCCAACTCTCCTTTTCATGCGGGACTAACAATCTCAATAGCCCAACGAACTTCCACGTCCCTCTTTTAAGGACACCGCCGTCGTGCGTCTGCCGCTGTGGGCCTACCGGCTGACCGTCGGGCGCTTCTTCGACAAGCGTGCCGACGAAGCTACGGAGGACGATGCCGATGAGAGCCCGGAGGTGGAGGCCGTGGACGACGACGAGGCGAACTCCGAGTCCGGCAAGCCCACACCGAGCAGCGGGTCGGCCGAGGACTTTGAGCTGCTGGAGAAGTCGATCGACGAGTTGGGCCAGACGAAAACCAGCGGCAGCCTGAAGCAGGGAGGCAAGGCCAGCAAGCGGAAGAACAAGAAGAGGTAATGGGCGAAAGGTTCTGATTGCTTTTCACAACATAAGTGTGATGACTTGCCCGTAGATATTTGTTTGTATATAGTTTTGGCAGTCAACGAAGGGCATAGGTTTTGCGACAGGTAACGTGAGAAAATGATTGCGCTGCACCTGGGCTTCGGCATTCCGCGGACCAGGCTGAGTACGTTATTATGTTCCCGAAATATCCAAGCATCTTTCCTAGCCAGTTCCCCTCTTCCGTCCAGCTAATCCTCCCTAAAGATTCCGTACCGAAACTCCAACGCCTAGTTACCCTCTATCCACCACGATCCCACGTTGGACGCAACAAAACCACCTCACACCCCGACAGCCTGGCTCAAGACCTTCGCGGCCAATTGGCTAAGCAACCTCGCCCGGTCAGCCTGCGGCAATTCCTATCCCCAAAACGTCAGCGAAGCCCTGTCGACTTCCTCCCCTCGAGTCCCAAAGAGAAGAGAGAGAGAGGAGCTCACCTGGAAAACCGCATAGACACTCTTCCCCTTCGCATCCCGCACTGCACCCAGCCGATTCCCCGCCACGGCGCCCGCAACCAACCCAGGCACGTTGGCCACAATGAACCCCAACGCCCCGCCGCTCAACCCACCAACCACGCTCCAGAATTTACCCGTCGGTCTCGCTCCGGGCCCCTGGTCCGCCATCCCCTCCTCGCGCAACATCTCTTCAAATACATCCGCAAACTGCTCGTTCTCAGTCCGCTCCCGCTCTTGACCCTGCTGGTGCTGCTCCTGCCCGCCACCGGTGAAGAAGTTCCACGCCCACGAGAAGGGGATCCCACCACCCGCTCCCGTCCTCCCACCGGTCCCCGCTCCCGCTTCCGCCTCGGCAAAAGGGTCGCCTCCGCTGGGGAAGCCGCCGAAGCCGCCTGGCATCTGCTGCGATGTTCCACCGCCGCCACTAGTGCGGGAGTACAAGTTGCGCTGGGCGTCGTAGTCACGCCGGCGGGTAGGGTCGGACAGGGTATAGTAGGCGTCGTTGACGAGCTGGAACTTGCGGGTGCGCGAGGCGCGGTCCGGGTGGTCTGTCGGGACGCGGTCGGGGTGGGTTTTTAAGGCGGCCCTTTAGAATGGGAGAGTCAGGTCGTTGTGATGGTGGGGTTTTGGGGTGGGTGGATTTGAGGCGGGCTTACCGTTTGTAGGCATCGCGGATTTGGGTGGTAGAGGCGGTTTCTGGGACTTCGAGGATCGCGTCTGCGGAGGTTTGGTTATTAGTGTGGGACGGCAACTATAAGTGGTGATGGGAGGAATACAGTAATTGGGCGGACGGCCTGGTTCCGAGGCCATCTTGATCGTCTGTAAGTCGTCGAATTGTAATGTTGAGTGGAAGATTTCTGTCTGTCGGTGTTCAGGGTAAAACGGAAAAGGTTGGAAGATCTGGGCGCTCCCTAGAAACTAATTCCCGATTTCAATCTCGAACTCGCACAATGTCGCAGACGTTTGCCAGTCTGGTGTCGTGAAGGACGGCAGGTTGGTATCAGGATGGAGCCGACGTCATCTGTGGCTTGCAAGGTGGCTTGTTGCCGCCTGAAGTGTGACCCAAGTCGAGCCCCGACCCACTTTCTGCAAGCCCCTCCAAAGCCCAGACTAGGTGGTGGACGTCACATGGGGCTTTGGAATTCAGCAATCGCCATCTTCAACTCTTCTCGGCTCCTATTCATCAGTTTCAGCTGATATTTCCATGGATCCTGACGGCATCAGTTTTCTTGGACTTTTGAGCGATGTCGATCACCTTAGTACCGTTTATTCTGCTGGCTGATTGTTTGCTGCTTTATTGGGCCGTGTTAGTACTAACTTAGGTCCTCCATTCACACCGCATGATGGTTGGAGGTAAGGTCGAAACGTATCAGTGCCCAATGGCCACACCTCCCCAGTTGACCCCAAAAACAGGCCGCCCATGTGGGCATTGAAGCGTGACAGCTGCAAAGGCCTGCTTGTTTCCTTCCAGTTTAGTGGATTGGTGCACTTCCACCCCTCAGTTCAACAAAATTAGCATGGCCCGGATCTGCCCCTCATCACTTCCTCGCCTCACACCTCATCGAGGCCAGCTCCCTTACCTGATATTGAACCCGGCCGTCGGAATCACGCCCAGGTCATCTTTCTCTGCTTTATGGTTCAAATCGATATTGTCGCATCTCCGACCTTGCTTCATCACTCTTCCGATTCCGGCGCCTTGGCTTTGAGCGCCTAATTTGGCGTGACTGTCACGTTGTTCGACCTTGCACCTCACCCTCGAGACGCCGAACAAGCAATTTCCGCCTGCCCGTATTCTTCCGCTGCCACGTCTGTCCCTGAAGCCCTCACACAAAGCGCCGTCTTCTTCAGTACATAGCATAGTCAATAGAATCCAGATTGCTTGCTACTCGCCCGACCAAAAAGCTCCAGCCACACCGCTCTCTGCTCTCCTGCTAACCACGACCACTATACTTCCTTTCTCAAGTGTACCCAGAGTACCTCCGCAGCAGCAGCGGCAATCTACTGTGCCCCATCATCTGTCTTGAGCGGGGTTGTCCCGAGGTACCGTTTTACAGACTTTTGACACAGCACCTTGCCGAGAGACAAAGACGGAATCAACTGACAAGCTGCAGCCCGATATTGTCCGCATCATGGCTGCCGTGTACGCGAACATGCAGCCCCAGGAGGAGCTGGTGGCCCTGTTCCGCCGCAACCTCACCCTAGACCCCATGTGTCGTCCAGCACCCGTACCCGCACCGGCTCCCGCTCCCGTGCCGGCCCAGCAGCCTCAGGAGGAACGCAAAATCGTCTACATCTCGCAGCACTACACCCACTCAGCGCACGTAGCAAAACAGAATGCCCAACAATCACGCCCCAGTTCAGAACCACCCGAGAGCGAGCACGCCCTCGTAGAACGAGTGCTTCGGGAGCACAGCGTCGACCCCGCTGGTCTCTCACCAGCCCAGCTCCACCTCTTCAAAACCGTCGACACCCCTGAGAAGTTCCGCCTCCTCGAGCTCTGGCGCGCCTGCCCACCTACCAACAGCAACGACAATCCATTCCTCACCTGGAGCACGACAACCGTCGATCAAGAAGAGGTTCTGGCCCGGCTGCGCTTCGAGCAGCAACAGCAGGAGCTCATCGACCAGCAACTTCAGCAGGAGTTCAGCATGAGCGACTCGCCCGAGCCGGAGGCTAACTCGGAGTCCGAGACGATCATGTCGCTCGACGGCACCCCGCTAACGCCCATCCAGGCGGGCGACGGCCGCTGGATCGCTGCTGCCGCGTCGTACCACTACATGGAGCCCTACATGGCGTCGGGATACGAGGAGATGGCCCGCCGTGAGTACGAAGAGTCCGTTCGCAGGGCGTATGCTGAGGCTGTGGCGCCGCCCACTAAGGAGACGACCGATTCGCTCGGGTGTGTTGCCCTCGTGGACAGCGCTGGGGGTATGCCGACTTTTAGCCCCGCGCACGCCGATCCCGTGTACAAGACGACAAATGTCGGGATGGATCATTGGAGGAGGGAGGCGGCCATGGCGGATCAGTATGGGCGGATTATGGCCATGAGGGAGGATGAGGAGATGTTGTGACTTCTATATTTGGTTGTGGCCCAGGGTTATTGAGATTGTGTTAGCGAGGGAGTTGATTGAGCATGGGATGGTATGCGTGGGAACTTCAGCTGCAAATCATATAGACTGTGGAGGATTCGTATCGGTGGTATAAGTGGTAGATACTTCACGTTGTTCCCTTTGTCTAATCGATAACAGGAGCATCTAGCTTTCATTTTGTCTTTAGAGACTACTTTCTGACCTGACAAGGGGAGTCTGGCGACGATATTCCAAGGTGCAGACAAGGAGCAGGACACGGCTTGGTACCTTCAAACCACTCCCTCGCGACATGCAAAGATGCCTCTAGAAGCATCATCCCAGACCTACGTTTGATTTCCCGAAATCTGAGGGCGCTTAGGCAGCTCTGCTACTCATCGGTCCTGAGGAAGGCTTGACATTCAAGTTGCGTGCAGATGGGTTCAAAGATATTGATGTTGACTTGTGTCAGGCGTGAACCCTCCTATCCCTGCTCCAAACTCCCCCCCCAGACCTTCCACGAATTGCCCTCCCATACATCCTACCATGCCTCCCATTCCAGCGATCGCAACCGGCACCCCACCTGTCCCTGCTCCTAACTCTCCTGCAAACCCTCCCACAATCCCTCCTCGCATACTTTCTACCACGGCTTTCATTCGAGCCATCCCAACATCTCCCGTCGCCCCTTGTTCAAAAGAATCTTTCTTCGCCTTCCTCGGTCTCCCAGCCGGCTTCCGGATTCTATCCTGGCCTCCTCCGCCCTTGGCTTTTTCTGCTTGCTTTTTCGCCCGCCGTCGTGACCGAGTTTCAGCCTGACGCGCCTTCCTCGTCCTTGCTCCAGAGGGTCCCTGCACTACCACAATCTTCTCTATTGGCGGCGGCGGCGTCTGCGGCGGGATCTGGGCTTCGCTGATTGTCGGCTGAGCGATCACGGTAGTAGTGGGGCCGGGAAAAGGGGCAAACATGGCCGTGTTCATGTTGGCCGTAGTGGTGGGCGCTTGTGATGCGTGCTGCTGCCAGAACTGCTGCAGGAATTCCTTGGCGCCGGCTGTCGTGGTGGCGGTACCGAAAATGGCCGTGGTCATAGGTATGATTGTCTGGGTGCCCGGCTGAAAACTGGGAAGCTGCTGCGCCGTTCCCGTGGTTACGGTGGAAACAGCGGCAAAAGATGGGGCAGACAGGGCGATGTCGGCGGGTTTCACGGCGGCATCCACAGACAGGTAGTCGCTGACTCCTGTCCTGAGGCAGGTGCTGAAGATGTCCGCGGACATCGGCATGGCTGTTTGGGTGCCCAGCCGCCAAAGCTGCTGCTCCGTTCCGGTTGTTGTGGCGGGAACGGCGGCAAAAGAAGTAGCAGACAGGGCGACGTTGGCGGGTTTCACGGCGGCATCCACAGACAAATAGTTGCTGCCAGCTGTCGTGGGGTCGGTGTCGAAGATGGCCGTTTGGGCGCCTGGTTGCCAAAGCTTCTGCTCTGTTCCGGCTGTTGTGATGGGAACGGCAGCAGAAGAAGGAGCAGACAGGGCAACGTTGGCAATTCCGCACGGCAGCTCCCACGCGTTCACGTTCACGGCCGCGCCCATGGACAACGACTTGCTGTCTCCTGTCATAGATTTGGTGTCGGTGAGGTCAAGGCCGACAAAACAAATGGAAGACGAGTCACGGGCCACCCGGCTCGTCTGGTTCTTGGGTAGGGGGTGGTCCAGACGATCCTCGCCAAGAAGGTTACTGCAAGTATTGGCGGTGGTGGTGGCGGCGGCGGCTGGAGTGGTGTAGGTCGCCGAAAACTCGAGAAGTTCTAGCGGAATTGCCGACTTGAGCAGGTCGGCCACACGTGCGTGTGTGATTTGTGCTGCCTGGTAAAGACGCATGTCAGTCAAGTGATGAAGTGCGAGTGTAAGAGACATTAACCTACGATAACGGCCTCGACCTGCTCCACGACAGAGGGGTCAACAAACCCGGGATCAAGGTGTGCGACATTGTTGGGCTGGACGGCCTGGCTTGTGATCTTGGTATTCGAGTAAACCATCTTGTTCTCCGTTCTGGTCCAAGATATCTTGCATGCGTGTTAGTATTGAACTTGAAGCGTTGCGACTGTACGGAGAAGAGACACAATACCACTTACACGGGTGACAAAGGCGGGTGGTTGAAGCTGTCTGCAGCTTGTGTGTGTGGTGCGGTATGTGCAGTAACGGATGTGAATGAGATATTGATTAGAGCGGATGAACCGAGAGCTGTAGATATGCAACGGCAGTTGATCAACGAAGTCGATGGGGAGTGTAATACTGGAGGAAGATGGTGAAGATCAAGCGTGCAAGCACCAGCTTTATACCCTCCTCTGAAGAGCTGCGACGCGTCGCGGCAACAGACGCTCAGTCCATTATACAGACTAGTTGAGTGGAATAGGTCGTCATTGTGTTCTCGACCGCATAGTGTTTTGCTCTCTAATGCATACCATACTGCACTATAAGCTGCACTGCCGAGTCTAGCATGGAACTCGAAGATTCACGAAAAACAACCACGCTTGATGCTTCCACGACACGTACGGACTAGTTAAGTGAAATAAGTCGTCATTTTGTTCTCGACTGCATGCATGCTATGTTATGCTCTGAGCTGCACCGCCGAGTGCAGCCCATAACTCCATGATTCAGGAGGAGGAACGCTTGCCCAAGCTTCCACAGTATATACAGACTAGCTAAGTGGAATAAGTCGTCATTGTTTTCTCGACCGTGTAGCCTTCTGCTCCCTAATGCATGCCATCCTGATTCTAAGCTGCACTGCCGAGTCTAGCCCGGAACTCGACAGATCATGACGAAGAACGCTTGCTGATGCTTTCACGGCTCGTAAAGCAAGTGTCTAGCATTCAAAGCAATATGTAAAGTTGTAATATCAAGCAATAGGACAGAAGAGCACCGAGTGACCCTTTCGTGGAAAGCAACGCCAAGTTGAACCACCCATCGAAGCACCGCCGACCTTTCCCGTTCTGCTACTGAACCATGCAGGTGATTGTCCAGCCCCTCGGGCTTGATAGCCACGCGTCAGCGCGCGTTTTTGTACGTATCCATCGATCTGGATCGAGCCTGCGTCGCTTTGCTGGAAGCCGAAATGATGCTACAGGTCTGCCCGTCCCTGTCCTCATCCGAAAGCGCGTCATCCTGCAGTCTTGCTCCCCAAGCCAGCTCCCCACTCTCCGCTCCATCCATTGACGAGGCCTGCCGCTGCAGACCAACACGTCCGGCGTCATCTCCATGCCCTGCGCCATCATCAACGACCTCATAACGCGTTCCGGGTGCTGCCACCTCCCCGACCGCCTCACAAGCCTTCGCCGAAACTCGCGCACCACGATTCCCGCCTCCCAGGTTGCACACTGTGCTCATTTGAGGTGCTCCCGCCGGTTCCGGCGAAGAACCGTTCCGCCGACCATGACGACGTCGCCGTCATTGCTGCAGCATTGAGAGGCTGAGTCGGGGCCAGACGCAAGGCAGAAGTCCGCATTCGAGTGGGTATGACGCGGGCTCTCAACTCGTTGGGAAGCTTGCCCCGCGGGTAATGTCGGCACGAGGACTGGCAATGGAGTCGCACGGCCCGGGGACCGGTCGCTGGGAGGCCGTGAGTTGACGCGGCACACGAGCGGTACGCCGCCATACTCACAACCGCTGCACTGGACAGGTCTCTCGGCCTCCTCCTGCCCTGGGGCAGTGCCGTGACGCAAGACAATTCGTTATCTAAACCGTTTGGGACGCAAGCCATCTCCATCACGGCCAACTCTCTGGGAAGAGTCATGCCCTGAAGGACGCACCAGTCGTCCTCCCACTATTGTTGGCAGGCGATGTTCTGCCTCCATGTCTGCGATGTCCCTGACCGGCTGGACAAGGTCGAGGCTGGTAGCGGAGCTGGAGAAGAAACTTGAAGGTTGCTGCCACCCGGCGATGTTGTAGAAGTTGAGGATTCGGCAGTTGTTCAACACAGCGCCCGGCGTGTCATGGCCGGCGTGCGGAACGTCAATGACCTCGATGACCTTTCGGCGCTCGTCAATATACTCCGAGCTGCCCGTGCCCGTACCCGGTGGCGTTGGGAAGAGTGCCGGTCTGTCTTGTCCATGGCACAGTGAAGCCCGCCGCGCTGGGTCCGGATCTCGTTCCATTCCAAGACCATGGGGTTCAGTAATCTCAGTCCGCCGGCGCTCGCTGCAAGCATAAAACTATTGCGAACAAGTTGATCGCTTGTGATGGACTTACAACTCGGCAAGTCCAGCAGATTTCGCGAAGGGAACAACTGGTACCGTGACAACAGCAGGTGTTATGAGGGCGTCCCAAACAGGGACTTCCCTCTGTGTTTGGGGGAGGAGGACTCATCATGACAAACCGTTCGTTTTCGTTTTATGGAGCCCTGGTTTGGGTTGTCTTCTGGTTCAGAAGCTTCTGACAGTGAACGAAGAGTGGTTGTCATGAGCGATCGAGGGAATAGGAGGAGTGCTAGTGCTGAGCTTGGCTGCTTTTTTATAGAACCCTGAAATTGGTTGGTGTTTTGCAACGTGGCAACTGACTGGCGACACTTAGGCCGAGGGCATCCAGCCGTGACTGATGAGGCTATTAAGGGTCGGATGGAGGAGAGGCATAGGTAACGTATTTCAAGCGGTCTCCAAGGCAATTCTTTGAGGTAGGCCCTGCCGAACACCCTCGGTCACACAAATATGAAGGAAGGGCTCTTGACTGGATACTGACAGCTCTAGCAACGCTGAAGTGGCCACAGCTGTCAATCTGCTCGGGGATCAATGAATTGCTTCATAGTCATCTGGCTTACCCTAAACCCGCGGCAGTGCCTGGAGGACTCATGGAGCCGGCAACGACCAATGTGATGAATATTCCATTGGGTCATGGAGAAGACTGCTTCCACTGGTTGCTGGTCTTAAGAAAGAAAGTTTGACTGCAGTGTTAGGTTCGCTGTGACGTAGATGTCTGCCTGTGCTTGAAGAATCTAGGACATTCTTTTCCATGGTTTATCCTGCGGAAAGGTGTCTATGCAGCGGCTCCCTCTGAACAGCAGCCATTGCGCAAACAAGACGCTTGAAACCACGGACGCCCAGCGGCATCTCTTGGTCTGGACTGCGACGTTGGTTAGATAAACCATGGAAATGATGTCTCTGTTGAGTCATATGGGCTGTGTTGAGCGTCCTTATATGGTGGGAAAGCTTCACCAAGCACGGAATCATCCAAACAATGGAAAAGGGGTCGTCAAGGGGCAACCAATCCTTATCAGCTTATCGTCCTGCTGGTTTTGTGGCGAGACGCTGTGGCGTACACACCTGACAAGGCTGAGCCTCATGGCGGGGCACCAGCCACACCTAGCTACCTTGCTGGGGACCAAAGCAACGCCAGCTGCAGGCTGCCTGATGGGAAGCTCATGCTGCTGCAACAGCTCGCCGAACCCCAGACCAACCGATCCTTGCAACCGCCGCCGCAACGAAGCAACCACCAACGCAATCCCCCCGATTTTTGCCGTTGCGAGCTTTACCTTACTCTTTAGTACTCTGATTTTGCCAAATTCACAAACGCAATGGTATGTTTCGCGAACGCCGGCTGTCACTGTTCTGCCCGCGCCGTCCATGCGACTCCTATCCATAGACCAACCTGACACTGACACATAAAACCGCCAGACGTCGATAGGCACGGGCTACGACCTCGCCAACTCCATCTTCTCTCCTGATGGCCGCAACTTCCAAGTGGAGTACGCCGTGAAGGCGGTTGAGAACGGCGGCACCTCGATCGGCATCCGGTGCAAGGACGGTGTTGTGCTAGCCGTCGAGAAGATCGTCACATCCAAGCTGCTCAAACCCAATGCCAACAAGCGCATCGCCACCGTTGACAGGCATCTGGGCGTCGTAAGCGCAAACCTCCCCTCCCCTTCAACATGTCCCATGCCCTGTAGAGCACACCTTTGCTCACCACTCCCCCTCCCGCACAGGTCTACTCCGGGATGATCCCCGACGGCCGACACTTCATCGACCGGGCGCGTGATGAAGCCCGCGCCTGGCGCGACACCTTCAAGACGCCCATCTCCACCGCTGACCTGGCCTCGCGTATGGGCGGCTACATGCAGGCCTACACGCTCTACCAATCCGTCCGCCCCTTCGGCATAACCGCCATCATCGGCGGCTTCGACAGCACCGACGAGCCGCGCGTCGACGGCGAGGTCGGCACGGGCCCCTCGTGCGGCGCCGGCGGCAAGGTCGCCGGCAAGACCCACGGCGGGCCCTTTCTCTACATGATCGAGCCCTCGGGCCTGTACTGGGGCTACTACGGTGCGGCGACGGGCAAGGGGCGGCAAGCGGCCAAGGCGGAGCTGGAGAAACTCGACCTTGGCGGGCCCGGCGGGCCGTCGCTGACGCTCGAGGAAGCCGTCAAGGAGGCGGCGAGGATCATTTATGTGGCGCACGACGATAGTAAGGATAAGGAGTTTGAGCTCGAGATGACGTGGATCAGCGGGCCCGATGGGCCGACCAAAGGGTTGCACCAAGAGGTGCCCAAGGCGTTGAGGGAGGAGGCTGAGCGGTTGGCCAAGAAGGCTCAGGAAGATGACGAGGATGATGAGGAGGAGGACGTGGAGGGGAAGGAGAAGATGGAGGAGTGAAGGGGAGCAGAACTGGTTGGGAGGATTGCAAATGGCGGTTTGTACCATACGGACACCAACCGCTGCGGCTGTGCCGGTGGGGAGATAGACATATTCTCGTCTGGCACTGGGATATGAAGTCCCGGACGAAATGTGATAACTACACACTGACTGCTGAGTCGTTCCCTCGCATGGAGCAGGTGCCGCGACTGAGCTTCAACCAAATATCCGTACATGCATCTGACCCGATCAACCAGAACATGGTTACACCCAAGGTATTCTCCTGCTATGTACATATGTCTATTTCTCCGCCTGCGCCGCCGCCGCAATACTAGCATGACTCTGGCACCAATTCAGCCAATCCGAAAAGAAGGCCGGCTGGATCTTGACCTCCCCGTTGAACCACTTAAGCTGGGTGTTCGCATACAGCTCAAACACCTCCCGCCGCCTCGCCTCGTCACAGCATACGACCGACGCCAGCGCCAAGCACGCCGTCGAGACTGCCCTCGCGAAAGCATGCGACATGTCTTGCGACGCTTCCTCATGCAGCTCCTCCATCAAGGACACTAGCGCCTGCAGGTCCAGCCCTGGGATCTCAGCTACCTGGCTGCCGCCGCGCGCCTTCTTGAGGCTCTTGGAGAAGGTCATGATGATATCGCAGGCTTTGTTGGCGAGCGCCTTGGCCGACGTGCTGCGGATCAACTCGAGTAGTGGGGGGAGGAGGTTAAAGACGTTGTGCTTCGCGTCCGGGCGCGCCGCCTCCTTCCTGACGTAGATGGCCAGCAGGTCGAGGACACGGTGCTTGAAATTGACCACCGTGTCCTTGGCGTCCTTCTTCTCCTTCTTCTTGTTGCCTGCCTTGGCACGCTGCTTGAAGATCTCGGCGAGCTTCTCGTCGACGGCCATCATCTCCGAGTCGGTCATGTCGGATTCATCCCCCGATTCGGCCTCGTCGTCCTTGTCGAGCCGATGGCTGCCGAGAACTTCTGCCAGGGCGTTGTCGAGCGCGTCGAGGGCTTCTTGATCTTTGTCCTCGGCGTCTGCATTTTCCTTCTCCTCATCCTCGGAGCCTTCGTCGCTGTCATCGGGTTCGTCAGACCCAGCGTTTTCTAGGTTGACAATCTCGACATCGGAGTCGAGTTCTTCCTCATCGCTTTTGCCGTCCGCCGCTTCGGCATCCATCACGTCCTCATCCTCGGTGCTAAAGAGCGCCTGCTGTCCATTGGCACTCTCTTCTACGGCCAGGGGATCGGTAAGGAGCTTGAGGGCCTCCTCCGACATGTAGCCGGTGAAGGCCTCAAACACCTGCTGAGACACCTGTCGCATGAGAGAAGATGGCCGGGCAACCATGGCCAGCAGGATCTCGACGAGGTACTCAGATATGCCCTGATCAGAACCTTGCCCATAGCTCTCAAGCTTGCTGTAACACTCGCCGAGCTCCTCAAAGAGATCGATTACATCGGGATCCTGGTTGTAGAATTGCAAGATGCCCACAGCATGCAGTAATGCGAGCGCCTGCCGAGGCTCCCTCGTATCGTCCGTCTGCTTTGCTGGATCGAGAAGGTCCCTAAGCCTCTCGTACGCATCAGGGAGGACCGACCCGGCAATCTCGTCGTCTGGGTCCACGTCGGCCTCGATGGATAGGATGGCGTTGCAGAGGTGTCCAAAATCCTCGGGTCTCCTTACCAGTCTGGCAAACGCTGAGATTGACCTTGTCCGCAGCGTCTCCCTGTCGCCGGCTGGTACTGATTTGTTGGAATAGGCGAGCTCTGTGAGCGCGTTGATCGCCAGCCCAGGCACCGACTTGCTCGAGGTGTCAGCCTCAGGTGTTTCTGAAGGCACGCTGGCCAGCTTGAAAAGATAAGCCCCTAGTGCCTGGTAGTACTTGGACCCGTCGAGGCCACTCTTGGCTGGATCTTTCAACTGGAGGATTCTCAAGACGGATTTGACGGTGGAGGGTGTTGTGTGCTGCAGCAACTTGTCCATGGTCTTGGTGTTTGTGCGCTGATCGAAGTTGTAGGCGCCATGCTTACCAAGCAACTCTTTGAGCAGGGTTGGGAGGAGCGCCGGCACCTTCTCGACTACAGCCTCAATGCTCTTGAGTGCCTTGAGAGCTGCACGGTGAAGGTACCGGTCTTCCTTCGCTGCCTGGTTCATGAGACAGACCATCATATTCTTGCTGAAGAGCAACGGTACCATGAACGGGGAGTCGACGGCGCCCTCAAGCATCTTTTGGAAGATCATAAAGCCCGAGAACTTCTGGCTGTCGGAAGCGTTCTTGGAGAAGAAGCTCTCTGCAAGGCGGTTATTAGTGACGACCCTCGAAACGGGAATAAGGAAGACTAACCGTCAACAACCCGATTCCAAAATTGTTTGAACTGTTCCGGGGCATCTCCATTCCTCTGGGCACCGAGCTTGACGTAGTGAGCGAGGATCAGGTCCCAAACGAAGTGAAGCTGGGCCGTCCAGTTGCCCTGCTTGGGCTTCTTGTTCCCATTTTCATCAGACGATGCCTCTCTTCCACTGTCTTTCAAAGCGGCCGGGAGTGCAGGGAGAGATGTGACTGCCAGCGGGTGTCGCCACGGTTGGGCCGGAACCTTCATTTCTGGAAACCGGTCGAGGGCCGCAATCCAGATGCCAACGCCCTCTGGGGTCTTCGCGAGTCCCTCTCCGCTGAGCTTTTCCAGAGTGTTCTCCGCGAGATTAATATTCATCTGCGAAACCGCCTGCACGATAACATAACCACATTGCGACTTCAGCCAGCTCTTTCTACCCGCCATCCTCAGCAGCAAGTCCAAGACCAGAAACCATCTCGTCTTGTCAGCGAAAAGGACCCCCGAGCGCACAAAGCTCTCAATGCCAAACAATTGTCCGAAGTAGTGGTCCCGTTCTTCCTGGCCCGATCCTCCGCCGTGTGTTTTTTCGAGCAAGATGCCCAATACTTTGTCAAAGGTCAGGCCGGTGTACTTGGAGCCCGCGAGGTCCTTCTCCCCAAATAACTGGCCCAAAATCTCGGTCAGCACTAAGCTGAAGCCGAGCCTTGAAGCGTTCCTTCCACTGGCGAGACCGCGGAACAGGCGCTTGTCGAGATGGCGCAGCAGGACCGGTTCGGGAACGCCTTCGCCCCCGAGCAGGCCGGATATGATCGCATCAGCGGCCTCGATGCGCTCGGTGACATCTTCACTCCCAAGTTGATTGTACAACTCGAGTTCTCTCTTGCGCTCGTCGACGTTAGGGTGCTCGGAGAACGGGGACTTGTCGAGAGCTTTCGATGTCTTGGACTTGGCCGAACCATTGGCTGTCAAGACTTCTTTCTTAGACCGTTTCTGAGAGGGTTGCGTGTCGTTGGAGGGCTCTTTGGCCACGCGCTTCCGTTTGTTACCCATTTTCGCGATATGTCGGTTGAAGCAGTCGTCTTGACGAGGTTCTCGATGATAGGAGTTCTGGGCGGCTCCGCAAAGTTCTTTGAGGAGCTTCCATCCAGACTTTTTAGCGGGGCTGCCTCTGCCGACTAGCACTGATACGCGATAACAAAGGAACGGGGCCTGGCCCCAATAACGATGCGAACTCGTACGAATCCCCTTTCTTATGTAATCGCTAGTTTCACCCACCGAACGCCTCAAGTGTACGGATTACTACGTAGGAAACACCTTCGATGATAACGACAAATGACTCAGCTGCCTGACCACGCCTAGAAAAGATCAAATTATTCCGAGTTTTGCTCATTAAGTGGCCCAAGACCAGCTTCTCTAGAAATGGCAGCAATTTGAGACGGAGTACTTTCCTCTCAACCCTGACGCTTATGGTCCACGAGCATCAGCACAGGTTCGAAACAGGGACAGTTATGGAAGCAAACTCCGCTGAAGTCACGGTGTAAACCCATAGATGCTTTGAACTGAAAGGGGCTCCCCGTTTGTGCCAATGCGTCGGTGATCCAGAGCCGTCACCGAAGACACCCGGGTACGACGTAAGTCTCGGTCGCAGTCTTCCAGAATTCCCAAACGTGGTCGAACGATATCTCGAGATTATGGGCAGGTTATGCCGTGTACTCCGTACTGTGTACACACAAATTAACACACCAGGACATTTGAAGTGGAACCCGAAACCTCCGGTGGTTCCTCGATTGCCGTGTCTTGTGCCCGAGCTCAGAAACGTTTTAAGCGCCATTAGCTTGAGGAGACCCTCCAGCCCCTTTCTCCTTTTTCATTACCGCCATGGCCTTTATCCTCTCTCTCAGTCTCTTTGCACGCGCACTGGCCTCTCCACTGTCAGCGCAACTACGGTGGGCTACTCCGGAGCTGGTGTACCCGAAAGTTCCATTCCACAGCGAACGGTAGACAAAGTGGAACTTGGACATGTGCCTTGCAGACCGCAGCAGCCCTACAAACCCGCCCAGCTGTCTCGCCAACGCTAGCGCAAATGCGGGATCGGGGTCTACACGTGTATATGTGTAATCCAGTCCTGCAGTCAGCGACTCCATCCATCTCTGGGGCGACCCGGGCGGAACCGGAAAGAGTGTCGTGAGGTTCAGCTCTTTAGAAACGTTCAGATCTCCTTAAAGGTTTGTCTCGGGATTGATGCCCTCAGCTTGATGTCCTCAGCTTGATGTCCTCAGCTTGATGTCCTCAGCTTGATCCTTTTGCCTTGAGTCTTGTAAGTGCAAGTCGAGAATGGCGTGGTTGGTGGTATCTTCATTAATTGACGATGAAGTCCGCATGCCGTGAGCATCCCCCGTCAAATCGGGGGCTCCGCAACTGCCGGATGATGTGACTCGGTCAACGTCAGGCAGACTTTCTGGGCGGCCTGCGCACGGTATCTCAATGATCGTCGAGTGTAACAAATAAATACCACCTGTCCGCGCCCTGCAGATTGAGGTCAGCCAGGACGACCCAAAACGGCAACCCTTGGTGCTCATCAGGTGACACCGCGTCCTGTCTCTGCTACCCCGCGGCAAGGGAGACCCGGAGATATGCGGCATGTTTATTCAAGCCCCAGAAACTCGCGCTGGTTTGTTTACTTTACCCCGCGTCGGCGCAGGAAACGGTGTGTCGATGTAGCATTGGATGGACGCATCCATCTTGCATCCGGTTCCGGGTGTTTCGTTGCCTTGCCACGCCTGTGCGTTAGTTTCTTTACCAGACAAAGCCTTCTGCGCCTTCTCTTGCGCAGTTCCTCAAACATGCCCTTGCAATGGCTCGAACAAACCAGCAGGCGCCAACGGAATTGACCCTGACCAAACCAACCCGCTTTCGGCTGCGGAGGAATGGGGGATCCATTCTGCTGTGGGACTGCTGTGTTGTGGCTGACTGACGTGAGCTGGATGCGACCCAAAGATGTCCACCGTGGGTGCCTGACAGCTGAACTCGGCTGCGCTGGCGGCTTTGGGAGCGGCGCTGAGGGCTAATCTGGGTCTCGCGATTGGGCAGAGATCCGATGTGCCGCTCTCTCTCTCTCGGTTGCGCGGCTCATTCGGTGCTGCTCGCTGTGAGCGCAGATCAGTATCGACAACGAGGTCTGGGTCTGAGAGGTAAACAGACTTCGTCATCATTCGTTTTTCTTAGGTTTCTCCATTTTTCTTTCGTGTTCTTGTCAAGTTTTGATCATACCTGGATCTTGCAACTGGAAGAGTGTCGAATCTTGTTGGTCGACGATGATGACGAGAGCTCAAGACGCTATCGGCGATCTTGTTCAGCCTTGGAAAACGCGCCGGGGGCGAGTCAGGGTCTCGGCCACAGCCCTGCCAGGAGGAATCTGGAGGAATGACGTCTTTCCCGATCGGGACGTGGAGAAAGTCTCTCAGACGAAAGCACTCTACCAGGCAGCGCTGATGCTATTTCAAGACTTTGCAAACCGACCGCAATTCAGATGTTTGTACTCCGTACAGCCATTTGTTTGTCTGTTGCCCAGGTACTGTAGGTCCATGGCGAGGTCAAACTCTCCGACAATTCAAAGGTCCCACTGGCAGGGACGAAGTTCCGAAAAAAACCTGAGACCTGGAGCGGAACAGGGGCTTGGGCGATCCGTTGGCGGGGTGGGCCACAACTTGGCCAACCTTCTTGGCCCAGTTTGCTTCCAGAATCTTGACTTGCAGCTGTTGTGGGCTTTCGCAAGGTAATGTATGACGCAAACAGAGCGAGATCGCGCTCGCAGAGTGGTGTGGCTGGCCTCGAATGTAGTGTTGTGAACTGCTGATTAGACAAGATCCGCTACCTGGTAGTGAACGATCTGCATGACCAAAGCCAGCAATTCAGCGAGTAAACAAGGGCTTCGGCAATGCTATGTATCTCCACAGCCCTGGAAAGAAACGGAGCCCATCATCTATGGAGGGGTGGCCGGCGCACAGTTGTCAATTCGCGATGCTCAGTGGCTGCAATGCTCGATTCCAGCTCAGCTCATGGGCGCTAACACGCAGCGCTTGCCCACAAGGAAACCGAAGCAATCGACGTGTGGCCCAAGGGAGCTTCGATCTCCGGGTAAGGTTGCCAGGTGATGAATGCGTGCTTTCTTGACTGTGTTTCGATGCCGAGCCATCATGAAACCGGCATTCCGGATCGGAGCCGACTATCGTATCCGTACCTAGTTGTGTAAAGTGAGGTTGCGGTTTGGAGTGTTTAAGCATCCGACCCATCTCGTCCCGGTGGTCCCAACGCCGCTCGTGTTGCGACCTACCCGCAAGGGCTGGGCTGAGAGAGCCGCTTTTGAAGCTTCCTCTTGACTGGAGATGATGGTCTGAAGCGGGACCGTGGGTTTCCGGGCAGGAGTTCCCTGGCGAGGTGCCAGATCAAGACTCGTCGTCAGGCGAGTTTGAGACGGCAACTCTGGGGGTCTTTACAGGTCCGTTTTCGTCCGTTCCTTTGGCTGTTAACATTGTATCCCGAAAAGCTTGCTGGTGATGTGACAGTGATGCATCCTCGAGTTGCCCAACAGCGAACGTCGACTGCCCTGGCCACTGGGAGCTGCGGTGTCGAGGCGCCGAAAGCGGCACATCCAAAGCCCCAGTGTTGTTGCACAGTGTCTGAGCTTGCAATTGGACGGTACCTCGAGACCAGTATTACACCCCAAAAGGTACAAGTGATTGCTGGCAAATGCTGTCTTGCTTGTTGTAGCTCTATTCCGTCATGCACATGGCTCAAGTCTCTCAAGCGCCGTGCCGTAAGAGCTTCCAATCCTTTGCAGGAAGGAGCTCCCAGCCCCACAGGAGCTCCTCCACGAACAAGGTCCCCGCTCACTGGTCCCTGGCGCCCACCGAGCAACCGCAAGAAGCATGCTTGGCCCAGCGAATCGCCCCTGACAACCTGCTGGGAAGCCAACTGCTTGATCGGGCTTCCCTGTCGTCGTCGTGCACCCGCTGGGAAGGGAGAAAATCCTTCTTAACTGCTACCCTCCCGCTGGCTATAGTAGACCTGAGCTTTACGAAACAGCTTTTGCACTGTTGGCCCGTTGAGCATCAGCTTTGGATCGGTAGGCGACCTGGCCGTGTGCCGCTTTCTCGGCACCAATATCAACGCCGCCAGGCGGGAGCTGCACACAGGACGGACTCAGGTATTGGGAGCAACGGACAAACCGGCCATCTGCCACGCTGTGGTTGCACCTCTCAATTGCCAGTACAGCCATCACGACACAGCAGTCCAGGGGTCCTTTATTCTCGATCCCTTTCTTATCCGCGATCCGAGGACTTCGTGCAGCAAACATCATCTCTTTCTCAACCCTGGCCAACCTCCCCGGCCTGCACTTAAAAGCGGAACCCCCGCTATAATTCACAGGCTTCCACCTCCCCTGGTTCTGCCAGACCCGAATCCGCAGACCGCCCGCGTTGCACCGGACGACGAGAGAAAACTGAAGTTCGGGTCCAGCAATCTGCAGCTTTTGCACCCGAACATTCTCTCAACAGGTGCAACCGAGGAGGTCGTGGCCGATTAACGTCGCCTTGGTCGCCAGGACTGATGTGCAGCTTGCGCCCAGTGCATGCTCTTATCCTAGGCCTTCATTCCTTCGAGATTGCCAACCTTGGGACAACGACGGCTTCTCTACGTCCTGCACCCAGCATCCCGACCACGGCGCTCTCCTTCAGCCTCGACGACATACCTACCTCCGAATTATAGACAGGCACTTCTCTGTCCGTGCATGCATCGACACTCCGGATCTGCTTCATCATGGAGACGTCATCGCCGCTGGCTGCAATGCGGCCGGCACCGCCCTCCACCTTCGGCCAGTCCAATATGTTCGGCCCACGCCTTGTGCCCAATTCTCTCGGCAGAACCCAGTTCACCTTCCAATTACCAAATGCCGATTACTTCAACACCAAGGATGCCCGGGGCATCTCTCCGGGAGCATCCTTGGCAGCCGACCTGTCCCAGAACTTCAAGCTCAATGAAGCCAGGTGAGTACCTGTCTTCCCGCTGTCCCTCATCGGTTGTGGGTCTGTCACTTACAAAATGGCCCAATGCCAGCAGCAGCCCAATGTTTCCCACCCCACGACGAGCCTTGTTCACGACGGCCGCCATGATGGATGCACTCGAGGGTCGTGGTAAGCCGGGAAGACGGGTGCTTGACCGACTCATGGGTTGTTGGGACTGATGGAATTCCTGCTTCCAGGCTACGTGACCACGCCACCTTTACCGCCTTCATCTTCCCCCGGCTGCTTCGATATGATGGACATGTCGCCGCTGCCTCACAAGGCGCCCTTCGTAGCCCATGTTGAGCTGCCGTCCCCAACCCCAGGCTCAGACGAAGTAATGACGGAAACACCGACATCAAGGTCTGACTCACTCCACCCATCAAAACCTGTTGTGGCCGAGTAAGTTTCTGTTACACATTCCAGCCTGTAGACCAGGACCCACATTTTCTAACATATCTTCTTCCCTATGTCAGCCGCAAAAGGCTGGGTCTTAGGCGACCGTCCCTCACCCGTGCCAAAGGCTTCACGGCCATTGGCACGCTTGGGCGTCCCCAGGGCGAGAATCAGCTACCGCCATTCCGATTCGGGGCAGGAGCCGACGGCCTGCTCGGTTCTTCTCCCGCTTCGTCCATGTCCTTGAGCGAGTGCTTTGAGGACTCCCCCCCTCAGGAACGGCGCCCGAAAAGCGCCAATAGCCCTTGTGCTCCGATGGCGATCACACGTCCCAAGGCGCACTTCAATAGCCTCAATGGCGTGAGCGGTGCGCGCAATGGGTCGCCCAGTATCGGCCAAGGTCGGAGAAGTACGAATCCCTTCATGCGGCCACGGAAGCAGCAGTATCGGCGATCGTTGAGCATGTTTGAGAACCCCGGCGACGTCGTGGGGGGCAAGAAGGATGGAGCGGCGTTTGCCTGCACAGCCCTGCAGTCGGTGATGGACCTTGAAGAGCAGCCCGAGCTCGTTCTCCCGCACTTTTTTCCCGAGGACGAGTGTGACAACATCCCGCGTATCACACGCGAGACGATGCTCGAGGTCCTTGACGGCAAGTACAGCGAGCATTTCGACAACAAAATGATCATTGATTGTCGGTTCGAGTACGAGTACGAGGGGGGCCATATCGACGGTGCCATCAACTATAACGACAAAGAGCTGTTGGCTAGTCAGCTGGTCGACAACCCGATGCCGGGCCGCACCCTCTTGATCTTCCATTGCGAATATTCGGCCCATCGGGCCCCGATCATGGCCCGCCACGTCCGCGCCAGGGACCGGAACGAGAACGCCGCCCAATACCCCAAGCTCTTCTACCCGGAAATCTACATACTGGAGGGCGGCTACAGTGCATTCTTTGCGGAGCACCGCGAGCGCTGCTATCCTCAGGCCTATGTCGAGATGAACGCCGCTGAACACGTTAACACCTGCGAGCGGGAAATGAATCGTCTGCGCCAGAACCGCAGGGGCCTGGGTCGCGCGCAAACCTACGCCTTTGGTCAACAAGACCCTTCTTTGCAGGACTCGCCAACCGCCCCCGGCCGCATCAACCCTCGCGATCGTGATATCACCAAAATGCTAGGGGCATCACCCAGCTGTGGCGCTGAACGAGGCCCTGCGAGGCGGATGGTGTCATTTTGATCCCCAAATGTTGAACAAACGAACTGTCCGGCCGTTCGACATTGCACGACGAATGCGGGATTCTATTTCCTTGGACGACACATACTGTGCACACAAGCCCAGTCATTAGGAGCATGTTTCTTATGTCCTCCACTTCTTCTCATACCCTACTGTTGTTCCATCCCCGGCTGGGACTCGAGGCATTCTTGTCGGCGGAAGGACTGATCATCCAACCATCGCCAGCACACCGGAGCATTCGCCTTATTTTCTTTCGGCACTAGACATTGTTGGCATAGCGTGGCGTTATCCAGGCATCTCGGGTCTTGGATCCGGCATTCTCGAACTCGACTGCTTGGTCTTCTTTGATCACACGGTATTCTCATCGCGTCGACATCGTTCAGCATTTCATCGCATCTTCTCAAAGCATGCGGGAGATGTCTTCAATGGCATGGGAAGCCGAGATGGCTCGGCTTGCCCATGCGTGCCATTTACCAGTTCTACTCGCTCCTTGGGACTGGCCAGTATTTCTTAATACCCTTCCAGAGCTTGCAGCACTCGGACTCGTTGTTCACCTGGCTGCGAAGTCCAACTTGGAGTTGCTGACGATCGCTACCACCTGCCCTTCGGGTCATCTTTCCATCATGTACGAACACTTCACCGGATAAGACATTCGGTTCCGTCCGACATGCACCGAACTTGGCATTTTCCTTTGTCGATATAAACACGATACCTTTCCCCACCTGGGCGGGCCAGACGGCGTGGACGAGAATGAGTAGTCCACTCTCCCTCTTGCAGTGATTTGCATGGTCTTTACCAGGGCTTTAAAGAGGGAGAGGGAACCAGAACCACCAGTTGCTTCAGGAGAGACAGTAGGAGAAGAGACACTTGTGGTGGAGGATGTTAACAGGTTCGGTGGTAACGCTTTTCCGCCATTGAAAAATTGGCTTGGGAGAGAGATTGATGTGCTTGGAAAAGAAGGTACCAAGGGGAGGAATTTCCTGTGGCGACGGCGGAGATGGGGCGCCTCGGTGTCGCGAGCGCAGCCTGAAGCGTTTGCTCACAAGGTTTCCTGCGTTCTCAACATCTCCGCTATCTATCTACCCTGTACATCGATCACCACACTCCCTATTATCGCGTGTTGTCGTGGTCGCGGGAGCCCAGTTGGGTCTTTATCCTGCCTCTTTTGTTGAGCGTCTTTGAGTTGGGGTCCTGAGTTTCTTCACTCTCCCAGAAGTCCAGGTGGGAAAGCCATTGGCTACTCAGGCGCAGTAACTTGTACATAACATAGCGACACACAAAGCTGAGACAAACAAGTCTAAAATATTCCCGTGCTTTTCGACATGTGTTCTGCAGCTGGTTTTGTATCCCGCATGGCGTTTCATTCACCAACCGTAACAGCACCCAGGTAATCGCCCGTTACCCCTTTTCCTCTGACAGCAAAAGATTGTGAGTCACATACCCTGGGATAGCAGACATGGATTGGGTGGCATCGGCTCTGCGTGTGCGACAAAGTTCCTATGCACCCTGTCCTACTTTGCCTTTGGGGGGATATTTTATGAGCAGCGTTGACAATATATTTCTTTGGCTCGAGCATAGGTAGGACAGATCCTTCTTCTTCAGGTACTCTATTCTGAGCAAGGGATGGTCGCACAAGTCAATAATTGCCTCCGGGGCCGGAGCGGGAAAAGGCGGCAGCGGCGTTGGTTGGCACGGCGATGTCCGACGAGGAAGGCATGAAGATGCCGTCGGAATTTGGCTTTTTCAGAGGAGAACCTGGGATAATTGTCGCGTCGCGAGTGCTTAAGCGAGGAATGAGTTTAGATATGAAAAGCGAGCGGTATGCTTGTGGAACGGATTTGAACTGTTCTGGAAATATCCAAGCCCGTATTTGTACGGCTGTTGGGTATGGAATGGCTTTGAACAGAAGGGGTGCGTAGCCTGACTTAGAGCGCAAACTCCGAGGACTCCGTCGTCTGGGCCGGCAATGTGGGGCTGCATCGGCCGGAAAGGTGTCCACTCCGCCCCGCCGCTATGGGCTCCGATCGGGTGCACTGGCTTTGCGGCGTTCAATTGAACGGTTAAGATCAGTTCAATCTGCTCGTAATCTTATGTTCATATGCATCTCTATCCATTCAAGCACCTAGGCGCTTGTACCCAGTTGGAACATGTTTGCTACGCTCATTGCCCTGCCTTTTCGCTTTGGTGCATGCTCGGTACTGCGCTATCGCTGAATTGAAGCGCGATAAGATAAAGACATCCTGGTCGCGTCCTGCATCATTGGACCGCGTTAGATAGATTCTAGCGGCATCATGAGATGAAATCAACCCAGCTGTTTGAATATTCGGCCATCATCACCGAGTTCGTCAGACCAACTTCCTCACTTCCTTTTCCACAGCAACTTCTTTTGCATGCAAGGACCTTCTTGCTTCCAAGGTTGCTATTTAGAGATGAGCCCTCTCGCTCATCTCTCAACCACTTTCTTCCTCACTCATCATCCATAACAAGCAGGCAGGCCATTCTAGGCCTTTGCTAGCAACATGGCTGTCAAGATGTCAGTTCGGCGCACTCTCATCAATTTCAACAATTTCACACATACTGACAAGATCAGCTTCGTCTTCGGTAGTATCAACGGGCAGCTTCGGTCGGCCTTTGGCAAGCTCTCGGCGTTACACGCCAAGAATAGCTTTAGCTTCGCCATCGTGACGGGAAATCTCTTCAGCGAGGCCCAGGATGATGACCAGCTCGCTGAGCTATTCGACGGGCGCATAGAGATTTCCTGCCCGACCTACTTCACTGTAGGCACCATCCAGTTGCCCGCCCGCGTCATCAAGCGGATCGAGAAGGACGAGGAGATCGCTCCCAATCTCCATTACTTGGGCAAACGCAGCGTCACAAAAACGTCGGAGGGAGTGCGTATTGTTGCCCTGGGCGGAGTTCTGGACATGAACATCGTGGCCGGGCTGTCCCAAGAGCAGCATGATCCATTGCACACCGAAGGAGACGCCAAGGCTCTCCGGGGCGCGAACAATGCAGACATTCTTCTAACCACCATGTGGCCCACCGACGTCTGGAGGAATAGCTCCAAGGCAAAAGAACTGCAGATCGGCCCAGAAACGGCACCTTCCAGCCAAACAATTGCTGAGCTCTGCGAAGCCCTCAAACCGAGATACCACTTTGCCATGTCTCCCGGCAACTTCACTTTTGAGCGCGAGCCGTTCTTTCCCGACGCCGCCAACGAAGATAAGGACAAAGGCATCGCCCTCACCCGTTTTATTTCACTCGCGCCTTGGGCAAACGCAGCGAAGGCCAAATCAATGTTCGCCTTTACGCTCAACCGGGACGCCATCATTACCCCTCCGGTAGGCAGCACCCTGACCCCCTTCTACAAGCCGGCGCCCAAGAAACGCACGGTTGACCAGCCTGAGTTCAACCGCTTCTCCGACGGCCACCACACTCACGACCACGACCACCGTCGGCACAAGCACCCCCGCCGCGAGCGCCCCTCGCCGCCGGGGCCGGACCGCTGCTTCTTCTGCTTGTCCAACCCAGACCTGCCCACGCATATGGTTTGCAGCGTCGGCGAGGAGACGTACCTTGCTACTGCCAAGGGCCCGCTCCCCGCCGCCGACACCTTTGCGAAGCAGGGACTGAACTTCCCGGGCCATTTCATCATTACGCCGCTCGTGCATGCTGCGTCGCTCAGTGCGACGGCCATGACGACGGGAGATGGCACGAAGCCGGAGGAGCCGGCACAGAAAACGTTCCGGGAGATGAAGCAGTTCCGTGAGGCGCTGCAGGACATGGTGGCGGATGTTTCGCAGGGCAAGTTGGGCGGTGTCACATGGGAAATCAATCGGGCGAGAAACATCCATGTGCATTGGCAGTTCATGCCGGTGCTTGCGGAGATGGTGGGGAGCGGGATGGTGGAGGCCGGGTTTAGGGTGTTGGCGGAGGATCTGAAGCTCGGCAAGTTCACCGTCAAGGAGTTTGGAACTGCCGACGAGGTGCCGGGGGAGTATTTTCGGGTGTGGATCTGGGCAAAGGCGGATGACGGGAATGTGGTTGGCAAATGCCTCCTGCTGCGGTTCGATGAGGGCGTCAGGTTTGACTTGCAGTATCCGAGAAAGGTCATGGCCAAGCTGCTTGGCCTCGAGCCGCGGATGGTTTGGCAGGATGTGGTGCAGTCGAAGGAAGAGGAGGTTGCGGATGTCCTGGCGTTCAGGGCGGCGTTCAAGCCGTGGGATTTCACGCTCGATGATTGAGCGGCTAAGTCATCAGTATCCTAGGACGAGTGGCGTGGTGGGACTGCACGTTGATGGCCACATTGGATGGAGATCGAGGGTTGGGATGAGTTGCGAGCCGAACATCCTGATCTCGCTGGTTAGGTAGGCTTACCCAATGCTGTCCTCAGATAGTCGAGTGAAGACTATCTATCCGATGGGTTCCAGAATGATCACTCGCATTCCGTGCTCAAATCTGCAGTCCCCTATTAGCACAGGTTCATCGTCTTAATTTCGCTCTACCGCTCAAACTGCGGACTACTGATAGATACCAAGCAAATGAACCAGCAGTGGCTTGATAGTGGGGGGCTGTTGGCTGTGTCCAGCCTGTGGCATCAAGAAGCGCCATTATCTAGGAAGAAGGGGGGGAAAAAGGAAAAAATAGAATAGATGAATAAAGGGCGGGGGTTGAGGGAAAATTGGAGAAAGCCACCCGAACCAGGCAAGACTTTCTTCTCTTTTCTCAGGATATAAGGGAAAGAGTGAAGGGTACTTGGCCAACTGAAGGGATTCAGATGCCGTGGGTGACTGGTCCTACGGTGTTTCGTTTGTGACTCCCTGCAAAGAACACCATGTCCTATTTCTCTGTTATTCCCCCCTCTAAAATGTCACTTTGGATGATACAATCCCAAGAATCTTGCGCTTTTGGAATGGACGTTGAGCCAACCGTTAAGTTATGTGACTGTAAGAAATGCATTAATCGGTGACCTGCTCCCCACACCCCTCTTAAATGTTATCAGCTTATCTCTAGCTCGGCAGGCTCTTGCCCGGCCAAAAATTTCGAGATCGCTGGAACATCAATCGCATTGGCGTTGCGCACGCTTGTTGCCGTAGCAGAGGAAGCATTCGACTACGGTGCCGGGACGCCGCCAACATGCCGTCCGCCACGTCCGGCCGTATCGTCAAGACCTCGCGAGGTTCCAAGAAGACACCCCACCAAAAGAACCATCGATGGGAGTCGTTCAGCGCCAAAATCTCCAAACTCCATTCCCTCGATCCGCTCCGCAAAGTCCGCCGCCATGATCTCGACGCCGAAGACCTCTCCGCTACGACCTCATACCTACGCAATGGTTTAGAGAAATGGGCCGAGCTCAATCTCTCCCGGCCGTACATGGCCTTCAAGAAAGAGATTAACCCCCTTACCGAATCCCTGGCCCAGATACTCTACCATGAAGACCGCATCATGGACCTGCTCGCCGAGTACATCGCGCGACACGAGAAGGAAGCACTCGAACCACTGCTGGACTTGATTACAGCATTCGCGCATGATCTGGGTGTGCGCTTCGAGAAGCACTACCCCCGCGCCCTGACGCTGATCGTCGACCTCGCGAGCAAGATTCACGACGTTGAGGCCATCGAGTGGACCTTTGCCGCCCTGGCGTTCCTCTTCAAATACCTGTCGAGGCTGCTCGTACCCGATCTCAGGCCAACGTACGATACTGTGGCGCCCCTGATGGGCAAGGCGAGGATTCCGGGTCACATCGCTCGGTTTGCCGCCGAGGCCATGAGCTTTCTGGTCAAGAAGGCCGCTGCACCTAGCCACAAGGACAAGGCTCTGCCGCTCTTTGTAGAGCATGTGAGGGGGGACCTCGAGAGCATGGTCGGGCAGAAGCAGTTCGGCCTTTACAGCCAGGGTATCATGACCATGTTTGCCGAAGCCATCAAAGGAGTGGGCGATGGCGTGCATTCGACAGGACCCGAAATCTTCGCCACCCTTTTACAGCATGTGCCCGAGGAGGAATTGAAGTTACCCGCGCAGGCGGTTTGGACTGACGTCTGCTGCGGTGTGCTCACCAGCGTCGTCCACCACGCCAAGGTGGATACCTTCAAGACCCTTGAGACAAGAGTGGTTGAGGAGGCAATGGCCGGGGAGCGCTCCGTCTTGTTCGTCCAAATCCTGGGAACCATGGCTGGTGTGCGAAAAGGCACCCGCATCCATGACTGGGCAGCCCTTGTCAAGGCGCTTGGCCAGTTGCTCCAAGCTTTCGGAGCTCAGAAAGAAGAGGTTGAAGCGATGAACGCATCTCGAGTATGGCAAAAAGTCATTGTCAACGTTGCGATTGTTTGGAGCCACGCCCCCGTCGATGCGCTTCTTCCGGCCTTGTTCAACTTCAACGGAACCATGACCAGAGAGCCGTTGATAAGGTGGTACATCGTGTTCTGTTCATATCTTGCCGATCTGAACTCAGAGAGATTCCGCGGCCTCTTTTTGAAGGATTTCCAAAAGTAGGCTTCCACTCCTCGCATCAGGTCTCATTTCTAACGTGTTCAGGTTCATTGTCGCGCACTGGTCTCAAGGCACAAACGAAGATGTGCTCTGTGTAATTTTACCACGCATGGTCGAAGCGGGCGGGCTCCCCAGGCCGGGTGAGAAAGAGATCTTTCAACTTCCGCAATCCTGGCAGGACCAGATTGTGAGCAAGTTCGTCCGGCTCGAAGACACACCGTTCCCGGAGAGTGGCGGGTTTGGGAAAGACCCAGAGACATGGAGGGACAAGTGTCTGCCGAAGTACTCAGCACGCTTACGAGTCCTGGAGTCGACATCGGTGCATCCGTCCACGAACGCGAGGATAGCCGAGGTTCTGCTCAAGAAACTGAAGCTGGCCCTCCGCCCGTCTTCGTCCTTGCCCACCGACGAGGCCAATTTCATTGTTAGCGATGGTTTCCGCGCTTATCTCCGCATGTGTGCCGCTGCGGGCTCCGTGGACCCCGCCCTCGCCCCCTTGCTAAGAGCCGCAGCGCCACGGTTCTGCCGATCACCAGCGTTTCTTGAAGCAGTATTGGCCTATGAGCGGGAAGTCAGGGGGAGCGTTCAGCTGTCCCCTGCAGCTAGCGATGGTGACAGTCAACAGGGGGAGCAAGATCCTTTGATCAAGTGTCTTGTCGACAACCTTTCCATGCCGTCTCATGAGCTAAGGCTGGCGTCCCTGAACATTCTCGAGACATTGGAATTCGCCCTCGATTCCCACTCTGCTCTGGCAACGATGATCCAAGTAGAGGAAATTCCCCTGAACTTGCAGAGTGTGCGGGCGATTGCGGTCCACCTTCGCAAGCTCGGTCAGGTCTACTCTCACATTGACCAGGACTCCTGGTTGATCCGAGCCATTCCGGCATTTTTGTTCGGCATGACTACGGTGCCTTTGTCCCCTGTTTGGGATGAGGCCGTAGAGGCAATGAAGAAGGTGGCGGAGAGCATATCAGGCGAGGAGGCATTGGCCGATATCGCCTTCAGCTGGTTAGGGATACCATCTCCCCAGTGGACAGGACCTTACAAGCCGCCCAACGAAGACAACCACGGACCTCTGACCAATTTCGAGTGTCTCAATCTCATGGCTCTGCACGAGACCTCGGCGGCTACGGGGAGCATCTTCGACGACCCGTCCCAGGACATGCTCAACACATTTGAAGAAGGCCAAAGGATCGTCGAATCCTGCTCGGAAAGAGCACGCAGCAAGGCGCTCAAGGCATTCAATGCTTTGCCTGTCCTAGCTGAGAAGCGCTCCAGAAGACTAGTGCCGTATTTGTTTTCCTTCACCGTCGACGACGAAACCCCTTTGGAGGAAGCCGAGGAGTTTCCCGAAGGCGCTTGGTCTCTTCCCGATAGAAAGGCTCTCGTCGGTGTATTTGCGCAGTTCAACAACCCGAGGGTGCTATACCAGAGTCAAAAGGTGTACCAGTCTCTGTTGAAACTCTTGGCGAACGGCGACATCGAGCTGCAGAAGCTGGCCCTCAAAGCAATTTTGGCTTGGAAGAACGAGGCGCTCAAGCCATACCAGGAACATTTCGAATATCTTCTCGACGAGGCCAGGTTCAAGAACGAGCTCACTGTTCTGTTCCAGGGAGATAATCAGATTCAGCCTGGACATCGCCTGGAGGTCATGCCGGTTCTCCTTCACCTGCTCTACGGCCGTACAATCTCCAAGAAGGGCGTCGCGAGTGGTCGCCATGGCCTCCATGCGACGCGCCTAGCTGTTATCCGGCAACTCAGTGTTGATGATATGGGTAGTTTCCTGGATATCGCTCTTGGCGGCCTGCGAAGCATTCGTATTCTCGATGCTCAGGGGCTCCGCGAGAGCGTCTTCGCCCAGGAGGCCCTTCCCGTTCGGAAGCAAGTCGGTCTGCTGAACATGATTGAATCCATAATCAACGAGCTCGGCACTAGTGTCTCGCTGTATATGGACGCTCTCGTCAATGCGGTCTTGTACTGCCTTATCTTTGCTTGTCGGCAGCTCGGCGGTAGCTCAGAGGACCAGGACGCTGATGAGTCGGACCAAGTCCAAAACGCTTCGCTCTTCAGGGTTGTGCGGACGACAGCCTTGAAGTCTCTCTGTAAGCTGTTCCAGAGCGCGCCAGACTTCGACTGGACACCGTACCAGGAGGTGATGGTCAAGGAGGTTGTCAGTCCCCGGATTGAGAAACTTCCAGCGGAAACGACCCAAGGCGTCTCTGCCACCTGGAGATTGCTTGGCACATGGGCTGCCCTTCCAAAGTCTGCGCTGTTGCTCTCTATCGATTCGAGGGTGTTGCCCAAAGTAGTGGAAACGCTCGGGATCGAGAAGGCCAGGGATGAGGTCAAGGTCTTCGCTCTCGACATCCTCAAGGACCTCATCAAACTGGCACAGGCTCCCGCAATGGAATCGGAGTTCAACGAGTCAATCAAGACCAAGCTGCTAAACCCGAACATCGATCTTATTTTGAAGACGATCAGCGGCCTTCTTCGCGACCAACCTGACATTGGCCGAGATCTGCTCGGGACCGCCGTCGACACGGTCGTTGCTCTTGCCCCGATTGTGGAGAAGTCGAACAGCGTACAAGACATGGTTGAGATCGCCACCTTCTTGCTCAACCAGCCGCTGCGCAGAGTCAACCCTAAGATCAAGGGCTCGATTCTGTTGATCCTGAAACAATTCATCGTGCTGGAGGACCTCCAAGGCAACGCCGAGCTGAAGAGCAAGGTCTACAGCACTATCGCATCCCTGTTCGGATTCTTCAAGGACAAGCAGAACCGGCAATTACTTGCCGAGGTTCTAGAGGTTTTCGCCTCCCAGGAACCATGGGCCCAAGAGGTAGCTGAGATTTGCCGCGACCTCAACTCCTACGTCGTGAAACGCTTGGATGAGCCAGATTACAACACCCGGCTCGCCGCTTTCAACTCTATCACCCGGGATCGCGAGATACCGTTCACAATTGACCAGTGGATGCCCCTGGTGCACAACCTTCTCTACTACATCCAGCAGGACGAGGAGTTCGGCGTGCTCTCCTCGAATGCCGCCGACGGACTCTGCAAGTTCGTCTCGGCAGCCGAGTCGGTTTGGGCTGGCCCCCAGCAGGATGCCTTTGTCGAGATCTTGTCGAGTATCATCCTGCCGGCCATCTACTCTGGGGCCAGAGAGTCTTCGGAGACGGTTCGCCGCGAGATCTTGCGCCTGTTTGGCTTCCTTGTCGCTCACCTACCACAGTGGGAGCCGGTTGCTGACCTGACACCTCTGGTACCCGAATCTGACGAGTCCGATCAAGCCTTCTTCTTCCACGTCTTGAGCCCCGCGGTCTCAAGACAGCTCCAGGCCATTCGTCTTCTGCAGGCGGCGAACGGGAAGAGCGAGCTGCGCAGCAAGCATATCAGCCAGTTCTTCATCCCTCTCTTCGAGCACTTCATCTTTGACCGTCCTGAGAGTGGTGATGACCACGGACTCAGCGCGCAGGCAACGAACACCATTGCAGCTTTAACCGAGTCTCTCGAATGGCAGCAATACCGGGCCATCCTTCGGCGATTCGTGTCTTACGTCGAGTCCAAGCCAGACTGGCAAAAGCGCGTAATCCGTCTGCTCGAAAAGGAGGTGGACGCGCTGCGCTCGGCCGTGTCACAACGGTCGGGAGATGCCATGGATGTCGATGGTGGAACGGCTGAAGTGAAGCCCCGGCGCCTGGCCTCCACGCTCCCGGACCGGGAGAAGCTCAGTGCGGAGATCGTCAACAACTTCCTGCCGACGCTGCTCAAGTACATCCATGAGAAGGATGAGACAACTGTCAGCGCCCGAGTTCCAGTGGGAGTCATCATCGCCAAGCTCCTGACCCTCCTCCCGGAGCAGCTTCTCAACGAGAAGCTGCCCAGCGTGTTGACCAATATTTCCCACATTCTCCGCAGCAAGTCCTGGGAGTCTCGAGAGATGGCCAGGGACACTCTTGCCAAAATCTCTGGCATCCTCGGGCCCGAAAACTTCGAGTTCATTCTTAAGGAGCTGCGAGGCGCACTCGTGAGGGGCCATCAACTTCATGTACTGTCTTATACCCTGCATTCCATTCTGTTAGTCGCGATTCCGGCGTTAAACCAAGGCGACCTTGACTACTGCCTGTCTTCCATTGTGGCCGTCATCATGGACGATATCTTCGGAGCCACAGGGCAGGAGAAAGACGCCGAGGACTATGTGAGCAAGATGAAAGAAGTGAAGAGCAGCAAGAGCCAGGACTCGATGGAGTTGATCGCCAAGACGGCCTCAATCACGCGCCTTGGCGATCTCACCATGCCGCTGCAGTCACTGCTCCTGGAGAAGCTCGACTTACGTACCGTTCGGAAGATCGACGAACTTCTGACGCGGATCACCAAGGGCCTGCTCGAGAACCCGGCTGCCGCCTCGCAGGATATTTTGGTGTTCTGTTACGAGGTAATTCAGGAGGTGTATAAGAGCCAAAAGCCAGAGGCCGAGTCCAAGATGGACCCCAGGCTCAAGAGGTACATCGTTCAGAAGGCCGCCAAAAAGAGTGATGGCAGCCTCACCAGCAAGCATACCTACAAGCTCGTCAGGTTTGCCATCGACGTTCTCCGTTCCGTCTTCAAGAAGCATGACAATCTCCGGACGCCTGCCAACGTAGCTGGCTTCTTGCCCATCCTGGGCGATGCTGTGCTGTCGGCAGAAGAAGAAGTCAAGATCGCTGCCTTCAAGATACTCACTGTCCTGGTCAAGGTTCCTTTCAAGAACGGTGACTCGAGTAACTTGTACAAGGTCGCCCACAAGGAAGCCATCAAGGCGATCTCCATGTCCCCTACGACCACCTCCGATCTGGCCCAGTCAGCATTGAAGCTCATTTCAGTCATCCTCCGGGACCGCCGCGAGATTCAAATGAGGGACGCTGCGCTGGACATGCTGCTGAGCAAGCTCAAGGACGACCTGACACAGCCCATGTACCGCCATGTCACCTTCAACTTCCTGCGTTCCGTCCTCGACCGCAAGCTCGAGGCGGCTTCGGTGTACGACACGCTCGATCACGTCGGGACCATCATGATCACCAACGACGACAAAGACACGCGGGACCTGGCGCGCGGCGCCTTCTTCCAATTCCTGCGCGAGTACCCGCAGAAGCGGAACCGGTGGGAGAAGCAGCTCAAGTTTATCGTGGCCAATCTCAAGTATGAGCGCGAGGGCGGACGCCTATCGGTCATGGAAGTCATTAATCTGCTGCTCAAGAAGTCGGCGGACGAGTTTGCGCAGGAAGTGGCGGCGACGTGCTTCATCCCGCTCGTATTTGTGCTCGCCAACGACGACAGCGAGAAGTGCCGGATGGCGGCAGGCGAGCTCATCAAGGAAATCTTCCGCGTCTCGGACAAGGAACGGCTGTCCAAGTTCATGATCTTGTTGCGGTCGTGGGTGGAGCAGGATGGGAACCCGGTGGTCCTGAAGCTCGCCTTACATGCCTTTGGGTTGTATTTTGAGGCTCGGGAGCCGAGCGCCAAGGACAACAAGGATCTTGGGCTTGTTATGGACAAGCTGGTTCAAGTGCTTGGGGATGAGGAGGCTGTCGAATCTGACTGGGAACTTGCTCAGATTGCGTTGACCACGCTGCAAACATTGGTCCAGAGGCACCCGCAGAAGGTCCTCGCCCCGGAGTCGAGCGAGCTGTGGTCCGAGATTCAGGCTTGCCTGGCGCACTCTCACACGACTGTCAAGCTCACCTCGATCAAGCTTCTCAGCATGTACCTGGCTGATTTCGCGCAGAATGCTGGCAGGGGGCAAAAGCTGCCGCTTCCCGGCTCACACGGGCTGGAGCTTGATGACGACGACGTCAACGATTTGGTTCGGCTATCGCTCGGGATTCTCTCTGCCCCTGAAGTAGAGGAAGCCCTTGCTCAAGAAGCTGTCCAGATCATCATGTTCTTGGGCGGTTATCTCGAGTCGGACAGGGCGAAAGAGGCTGAGGGCGACGAAGCAGAGGAAGACGATGACAACAACTCCAAGGAATACGCGCAGCACGCCGACATCAAGTACCTCTTCTGGAAGCTGTCCTCCATCATCCGCAAAGAAAGGCAACCGAAGCCCGAGATGCTCGTCAGCAAGCTCGCCGCCATGGACCTCCTGGAGGCCTTCACCGTCAAGACGCCACCCGACACGCTCCTGGCGTCGGCCAAGACGATCCTGCGGCCGCTGCGCAACCTGACGGACCCGTCCATTCGGCAGCCCTTCTCGCTTAACGACGTTTTCAAAACGCGTTACGAGACGCTGAAGAGCAAGGCGCAGGCCATCATGGAAACGTTGCAGCGGCGGCTGGGCAGCGCCGAGTACACCAAGGCGCTGCTGGCGGTGGGTGAGCATATTCGTGAGCGGCGGCAGCAGCGATCGACCAAGCGCAAGATCGAGGCGCTGACGGCGCCGGAAAAGTACGGCCGCGAGAAGAGGAAGAAGTTTGAGAAGAAGAGGGAGAAGAGGAAGGTTAGGGGACAGGAGCAGAGGGAGCATCGCCGGGGATTCCAGTAGGTGCAAATGGGCTGGGTGGGTGAAATCTGATTTGCTTGTGCGGGTGGTCTAGTCTACAGATATATGGTATGAGACAGAATATTGGTACATATTCATGAGAGGAATGGGTGTTCTCCCGGGTATGCCAACGGCGCCATCAGATCTATCCAATCGTACATCTCACATCCTCCCCACATTCTCCTTGTCTATCGCATCCTCTATCATCCATCCTCCATATTTCCTTGTCCCTCCCCAAACACCATCTATGCATCTTCCCCCTTCTTACTCCCCCGCTTAACGCTCTTGAACGTCGCACCAGGCGGCAGGTCCTCTTCCGCCTCGCTCTCCCCCGCCTGCTTCTCCTTCTCAACCCACGGCTCACGCACGGTGGTCGTCCCATCCTCCCAGAACTCGACATCCCCTTCCACCCCGAGCGAGCCCCGCTTGATCTGCTCCCCGCGCTCGCGGAGCAGGTCCTCGACCGTCATAGCCTTGTCCCCGAACACGCGCAGATGGTCGGCGATGACGTGCCGGCTGCGGCAGGAGGGGCAGGCAATGAGCACCGTGCCGTGGTGGTAGCCTTGCTTGGAGACGCGGTGTCGCGAGCGGGTACCGCAGGGCCGGCAGGTGAAGGTTAGTTCGTAGTGGGGCTTCTGGATGATGTTGCGCGGGTTGTTGTTGTTGGTTCGTTGGCTTGCTTGGCTTGGTTCGATGGAGGAGGTCTGGGTTGAGGTTGATGTTTCAGAGGAAGGTGGGCTTGTTGTTGTTGTTGTTGTCGTTGTTGTTGTGCTAGTAGATTGCTGTTGCTGTTGTGTGAACGGGGAGGGGTTGCGTGGTCGGGGGATGCTGTGGGCGAGGCGGACGGTGATGGACGGGAGGAAGACGGCGACGGAGACGTTGCGTCTCGATGGAGATAACGTGCGAGCCGGCGCTGGTGAGACCAGCCTGAATAGACCTGGTACAGATGAAATGGCACGCTTGGACACCATGGTCGGGTTGACTTCTTAGGAGCGTTCGAAGAAACAGGAAGGGGGATTGATCGTCGGGTTGTGTTGTGATTCAATGGCCGGAGAACAAGCCCGACGTTGGCAGAACTCGGCATTCGCCGTGGCGGCCTTGACAAAGTTCTTATCGATAATCTAAGGGGTCCACAACAACTGGAAGCTCGATCCGCTTGGACTCTTGGAGGGGCAATCTGAGTGGGAAAGATTTACGGAAGCTCCATGGACCTCTCATACAGTTGATTGCCTGCACTCATCCTGAGACACTGAACTTCGAAAGTAGTGCACCGGCACTCTTACACCTGCGCTTCGTGTCAGGGTTGTCGGTCCTGTGCAACGGATTGTTTGTGCGCCGCCTCCGACTCTACAAACAGCTACCTCCCAAGCAAACAAAGATGGCAATGCGCTAGGCCTACTGGATTCTTTGGCACCTTTCAGTCTGATCGCAGAGCCGCCCTCCATCCCCGTCCTATCGGTTTCCTCGGTTCCATTTTGCCTTTCTCTTCAGATATCACTTTGCCGACCACGGAAGGCTGGTAGCCACCACTTGCTTGGCCGGCTATCGCAGAATCCATACCACTCAAGTCCCGGGCTCAAACATTGGACTCCTCCGGCATCTAACCGGCACCCGGAGCCCGGATCGACTCGAACCGTATTCTTGGACACCATCGACAAACCACATCGCCGCAATGGCTTCTAGACCAAACAAGATTCGGCCAGTCCGAAGGGTAGGTACTGAGTATGCGCGCAAAAATCTCCCATTTTCAGTGCGATTGCACGACCGCCCTTGTCAGCGATCCTTCTCATTGGCCTCCATGAATGGCGAAACGAGCGGTTCTAACTTTCGCAGCCCATTTTGAACAAGGAAACGAGCGAATTCGAGCCATGCTGGGACATCCTCAAAGGCGCCCTTACCGACATCCACAACAAGAACGCCAGCCGGCTGTCGTTCGAGAACCTCTACCGAGCCTCGTACAAGATCGTCCTTCGGAAGAAAGGCCAACTCCTCTACGACAGAGTTAAGGAATTCGAGGAAGAATGGTTCCGCAATCATGTTTTGCCGCCCATCGCAGAACTCGTGTCTAGTAACCTCGTCAGCGTTGCGCTGCTGCAGATGCCGGGTTTGAGCGCGCACGAACGGCGCGAAACAGGCGAGAGATTTCTCAGGGGCATTCGTGACACATGGGAGGACCATAACATGTCCATGAACATGGTCGCCGACATCCTCATGTACCTCGAGCGATCGTACGTCTCCGAAGCGCGGCAACCTTCCATATTTGCCGCCACCATAGGCCTGTTCCGCGACCACATCCTGCGCAACAATGTGGGCGGTGTCTCGGAGCAGCTAGACCAGCCCTTCGTCATATTCGATCTCGTCAATGCCGTCATCCTCGACCTGATCAACATGGAGAGAGACGGCGACATCATCGACCGGAATCTTCTTCGCCAATTAACGTCTATGCTCGAGGCTCTGTACGAAACGGACGAAGAGCAGGAGAATGCGAAGCTCTATTTGACCGTCTTCGAGCCAAGGTTTCTGACCGCAAGTCAGAGCTTCTACAAAAACGAGTGCGAGAAGCTGCTCCGTGAGGGCAGCGCTAGCACTTGGCTGCGTCACACCCAGCGCCGGCTTCAAGAAGAACAGGATCGCTGCGAGACGTCACTATCTATCCTCACGACAGACAAGATCGCCAAAGTCGTCGAGCTGGAGCTGATTGTGGCAAAATTGAATGACTTTCTTGCCATGGAGGGCACCGGCATGAAGAGCATGGTGGACAACGACCGGTACGAAGACCTCTCGATCCTCTACCAGCTCGTCTCCAGGGTCGATAAGACAAAGAATGCTCTCAAAAATATACTTCAGAGCAGAGTCATGGACCTCGGCCTCGAGATTGAGCAAACACTCAAACACACAGACTTCTCCGCTCCAGGTGCTGGCGCTGAGGTGGAGGATGCAGCCGAAGCTGGGGAGAAGACCAAGGCCCAGCCGCTGAGCGCAGCAGCGCAACAAACAGCAGCAGCAATCAAGTGGGTTGACGACGTCTTGCAGTTGAAGGACAAGTTCGACAATCTCTCCAAGATGTGCTTCAACGAAGACCTAGTTCTCCAGTCTGCTGTCACGAAGAGCTTTTCCGATTTCATCAACATGTTCCACAGGAGCTCGGAATTCGTGTCACTCTTCATTGACGACAGTCTCAAGCGCGGCCTCAAGGGAAAATCCGACGAGGACGTAGAGGTCATGCTACAGAAGGCCATTGTTCTCCTCAGGTATCTTGCGGACCGCGACATGTTTGAGCGGTACTATCAGAAGCACCTTGCCCGGAGGTTGCTACATAACAAATCCGAGATGCACATTGAGAAGGAGCTGGTCCGCAGGATGAAGGCCGAGCTGGGCAATCACTTCACGACCAAGTTCGAGGGCATGTTCAAAGACATGGAGCTGTCAAAGGACCTGTCCGAAAACTACCGCGACCACGTCCGAAACCTCGGCGATGCCGATACCACGAACATCGACCTCGGCATACACGTCCTCACCACCAACAATTGGCCACCCGAAGTCATGGGCCGCAGCGCATCTCAGGAAGACGGTGGTAGAGCGGAATGCACATTCCCTCCGGCGATCAAGCGTCTCCAGGAGAGTTTCTTCAAATACTACCTCAAAGACCGCAGCGGCAGAGTACTTACCTGGGTTGCCTCGGCGGGCAGCGCAGACATCAAATGCGTGTTTCCCAAGGTTACCGGCAAAGAGAGCGGCCCGCTGAGCAAGGAGCGGCGGTACGAGCTCAACGTGTCCACCTACGGGATGATCGTGCTCGAGCTCTTCAACAGCCTCGCCGACGGCGAGAGCCTTTCGTTTGAGGAGATCCAGGCCAAGACCAACATCCCGGCGCAAGACCTGATCCGTACGCTGGGCTCGCTCTCGATCCCGCCCAAGTCGCGGGTGCTCGCCAAGGAGCCCATGTCTAAAAACGTCAAGCCGACAGACCGGTTTGCCTTCAACGCCCAGTTCGTCAGCAAGACCATCAAGATCAAAGCGCCCGTCATTAGCAGCGCGTCCAAGGTGGAGGACAACGAGGAGCGCAAGGAGACGGAGCGAAAAAATGACCAGACGCGGGCGCACGTGGTGGATGCGGCTATTGTGCGCATCATGAAGTCAGTCCTCTCCTGGTTTTCTCGGTCGCTGGGAAATATGCTAACCTTTTGCGCATGGCAGGCAACGCAAAGAGCTCACGCATACTCAGCTCACCACCGAGGTCATTGGCCAGCTGGCCGGGCGGTTCAAGCCCGAGATCTCCATGATCAAGAAGCGCATCGAGGATCTGCTGGTGAGGGAGTACTTAGAGCGGATTGAAGGTGAGATGGCTGCGTATCGCTATCTGGCGTGAGCAACCGTACCTACCATGTGGATGGGATCGTACTCGTTGTAGCAGGTAGTACCTACTTCAGGCTGTGGCTTGTGGCAATGAGGTCGATTCCGTTGATGGGGATGTTGGGAAATGTCCACGGTGGCATATAATTCTGGGTGAGTCTTTGAGAGGAGTCGGGCGGATGGTATGACGAATATGAGTACATGGAGAGAATCTGGGACTGGGCCTTTTCATCTGGGATAAGGTAATGAATGGGCTGAACGCGGCGTTGTTGAGCATTTGAATGATGGCTAGCTATTGGGAGTTGGAAGGTTGTTACAGTGACTTTAAAGACGGAGCATGCATCATGATGGTTTTGGCGGGCCAGAGCGCTGCGGCGTCTTGCATGCTCGCCATCTGGGACCTTATTACAACGAAGCTACAGCCCCGTCGTCTAGTTCCAACTTTATTCCGAAGTGCACAGGAGACTACCCAAACTCGTTGAGTACCTACTATTATTGGGGAGGTAAAACGATAGATAGTTTAAGGAAAGAGCATAATGTGAAGTAACGTACATCATAATCGAGTGAGCCATATAAGCGAGTGAGTCATATAAGCGGGTGAGCCACTTTTCGACGCGACGCGACCCTCCACCTACAATATACCACTCGACAACAACAAACCATGCCTGCCACCTCATACGAAAGTAGGGTAAACTTGGCCCTTGAAGCTCTTCAAAATGACGAAAATCTAAGTGTACGGGCCGCTGCTAAGATCTACAACATTGATCGTATGACGCTTTCGCGACGACGCGCTGGCAAGCCTGCACGACCCGACACCACGCCCAATTCGAGGAAGCTCACTCAATCAGAGGAGGATGCCATTGTTCAATAATTTGTTGAGTTATCTGCGCGAGCTTTTCCACCAAGATTTCGTGGTATGGAAGATATGGCCAACCAACTGCTACGCGTATGCGATGCGCCGTCTGTTGGCAAGCTCTGGGCATACCACTTCGTCGAGCGCCAGCCACAGCTCTATACGCGTTTTAGACGTAGATATGACTATTATAGGGCAAAGTGCGAAGTTTCAAAGGTCATGGCTGAGTGGTTCGCGCTTGTACGGAACATTATAGCCAAACAAAGGGCAATTCTGGTTGTTGATCCTCAACAGCCACGAAAGCTACCACTCTACCGAATTCGAGCGCTACTGGTAAGAGAACAACATCATTACGCACTATATACCTCTATATTCTTCCCACTGCCTCCAGCCACTGGATGTTAGCTGCTTTGGGCCGCTAAAGCAGGTTTATGGTCGCCAGATCGAAGACTTGATGCATATGTATATCAACCATGTAAGCAAGCTTAAGTTCCTCTGTGCCCTCCGCGAGGCATTCTTTGCCTCTGTGACAGAGAAGAATATACGGGGTGGCTTTGCAGGTGCTGGCCTTATGCCGTACAATCCAGAGAGGGTGCTTTGCAAGCCTAGAGATGAAGCTTCGTACGTTAACACCCTTGACCTTACGGCCCGGCACTCTACAAGCTTGGGTGTTCCAAACATCACAAAACACCTAAGAAGCCAACTTACAATCAACGCTCATCAAGACTCGCATTGCAAACCATTAAAATAGCTCCCCGATTTCAATGTTGGCTGCGGTAGACCAGCTTGTTAAGAGTACAACGGCTGTGATGCACCACGTGGCTCTCCTTCGTGTAGAGAAAGCTTCACTTCGCAAGGCTAACGAAGCCTTAAGCATTTTGCCTTGGTGAAGTGAAGGGAGGGAACAACGGAGTGGCTGGACTGGTAATTAGCAGTTACGATGTTATAGGTCCTTGTGCTGGATTGAAATTTGAGATACGTGAAGGATGAATGTCTGGACGTTTGAAATCGTGTCTTCCCGATCTTGCAACTGCCTCAGGGAACGTCCACAGTATCAAATCAAGTTGCCTAAACCGAAAAAGGAAACAGCAAGGAATATCTTGCAATAGAATAGGACAATCAACAGACAAATAAGAAATAGGTCACAATCCTTTTCCAGTCAAAGCGCCTAGTTCGTTATATGCATTTGATTCTGGCCGTTTCCCTGCGAGGATGCGTGACTCCAACCATCTGCAGAAGAGAGATATGTCATGGCTACGTTAAGCGGTAGTTCCAGGTCATGGGGCGGAGAAAACCCAGGGCAGCATGTGCAGCGGAATATGCGGCCGTCTAGTCGACAAGCAGCTCCTAGTCTCTAGACCCATGTCTGCGACGAACCTTAAGCCACAGCACGAGGCGGGCCTCCCCTTTGCTCGGCGCATGCTGCCATCATATCTGGCATCCATCTTCGGGACAGGCTTCGGGATGCAGCTTGACGCTTGGATCAGTCGGCATATGGCCACGCTATATCGTCATCTCCCGATTAAGGCCTTCACGAGCATGGCCTGTTGCATGCGGCACCAGGCTGATGGTGCGTTGTTTTACTTCCAGGCTTGAGTTATAAAGTCCTCCTTCCTCCAGGAGCAGTCCAACACTCTCTCCCTCCCATCAAACAATAAACCTATCATACTCACAAAACAAAAACCCGCTTCGTTGATGGGAATCACTCACAGTCAGCCTATATACACCACCAACAAAGCTTGGAAGACATACTTCGCTGTCTGTCTCTCTTCTTTTCCGTCTCGACCAAAAGGCTCTTGCCGTCCGCCCGGCTGTCACGCCGGGAAGTAAGTATTCCTTACCATGACGCTCCGTTTCGTGTAGCAATGAACATCACACAACACGAGAAAAACGGCTGCTGACCGCGTCTTAGGAGAACCACCCAAGAATCGCCAGCCCCGCGTCCCAAGGTCAGAAGAAGAGAATGCGACTGCCAAGCCGTCCGCCTACCGTCAGTACACTCTTCAGCTGCAGTCTCGCAGATCAACGGCTGACTTTTGACTCCAGACCGCCCACAACACTGCCCTCGCCCCGTCGCCCGCCAGCGGGGGCATCAGGAAGTGGCGGGCGCCCCAGACCAAGACCCGGCGCTGCTCCCATACTGGCAGTGTGTTTTGCCGCTGCCGCCGACCACCTCGCCTTCGGTCGCCGCCACGCCCTCGCCCTCGGCCGAGAACTTGTCGGTCACTGCCCCTGCGGCCAAGCCCTCCCGCCGCTCCGCCGCCGTTCCCGCGGGCGATGAGCTCAAAAAGAGGGATGCCGAGCGGGATCGGGCCGTCGAGTGGTAAGTCAAAAGCTTGAACTTCCAGAAAGCTGCAGAAACTCTTGGGACAAGAAACCAAGGAATTGACACACCTCTTTTTCCGGGGACAAAATGACAACCAGCACGCGTCGTGCCACCGCCTGTCGCTGCTGCCAGGAGCGGCACGCCAAGATCGACCGGGCCGGTACTTAGGGGGAGCCTGCGGACGGGGACGAGCTCCTCCCCTGCAACGTGATGTGGCGTTATTGGTTGGGTGAATGATAGATACCCCGGGGCTAGATGCCGCTTGAATTCATGGCTTAGTGGATGCTACGAACGTTAGCAGTTCAGGGTGACATGTTGATCCGAAGTGATAATTCCAACTTTGAACGTGGACATGGGCTGTACGACACCACCGTACCCTGGCACTCATCCTGGCCTTCCTCTTCTTTAGCGGCCTCATCATTGCAAGTATAAGTGAATAGGAAGGCGTCGCAGAGAACTTTTGAAACGAGATAATGCACCTTGATGAACGCTGTTATCAATAAGAGCTCTTGAAACTGTGTATTATACCAGCAGATATCTGCTTGTTCAAGTTTGATACTACAAATCACGTGGGCATGCATCGTCCTTGGAGAGACTACCGGACCATTCGCGGAGTGACATCAGAGCTGACGGAGCGAAACGTACGGGTTCGGGTGATGCGCGAGGCATGGGAACAGGTCCAGGATCCGAATTTCCACATCGCACCCACAGTCGCTTCAATCGAAGATTTAAGGTTCGCTCGACAATTACACATCTCGGGGGATGAAGCGTTGGGTTCTTGTCAGGCACGGGTGTCCGGGATTCTGAAGCTGACGTCAGGTTCGGAACGAGCCATCAAGGGAGGACAGGGGCTAGGAACGTCATTTTGGGTGTCACGCAACACTGGGACCTGGAGATCTACTACAAATATTGCACCCCCAGGCCAGAGAATTCGTTCCGAGATCCATAGGTTGTGGATTTGGCTTTCGGTAGTGTCTTTTGCTGCGAGGGCATGGGAGGATGAGTGACAGCACAGGGACCGGAATTGCGATGGTTCTTTGCTTTGCACACAGCCTGCTATGCCACCAACATAAGGACCACGAGTTGCTGCCTAGATACCCAGTTCAATGACCTGGGGATGCGGAATTGGTAGTGCCGATGATGTCAAAGCAGGGCATAGGAAAGCCCACAGTTCTCACGATTGTTTGTCTGGCAGTGCTGGCTACGGGGTTATCGGGGGCTCTCAAGTTCATTTCATCCTCTCTTTTCCTCCTCCTTTCTCCCTTTTTCTCTCCCTAAATTGATCAGGAAAAGAAATGAAAGATAAAGAGGATAAAAACGGGGAAGATAAAGAGGATAGAGAAGACAGAGAGAAAGAAGAGAGAGATAATTAGGAATACAAGAAAGATAAGAGTAACGTTACTAGAAAATGAAAGAAGCAACTAAAGAGAAATAAGACTAAAGTCAGAAAAACAATAATTAGAGATAACGTTAGAAGAGATCAAAAAGAAGAAGGAAGAAAGGACTAACAAGATATAACGTGATCCACCATTGACTCGGACACCCCATTGACTCGGACACATTTTCCCCCACCATAACCACCCAACTTCAACACGCGTTTTCTCTACCACAACAATGTCCGACAGCTTCCCAGAAAACCGAGTTCTTCTCGCGATCAATGCGATTCGATCAACACCGCGCTTGAGTATCCGACGCGCCGCAGAGATATACAATGTCCCCAAGTCGACAATTGCAGATAGAATGAAGGGAAAGATCGCGAAGTCCGACAGCTATCACGGCCGTTCGAATTTGACGAAGATCGAAGAGGAGGCGATTGTTCAATACATACTCGACCGAGATTCGCGAGGGTTTTCGCCCCGG